TTTAGAAAAGTACAGGGTATGCAAGTTTCATATAAGGCCTGATCCGATTCTCTTGTCAAGAGATAAAAGACACTATTCCTGAGTCGGCCATATTAAATTGAAAGCGAGGTAAACTCTTCATTTTTGGAACTTGTGAGTATTGATAAAGCATGAAATAACAGTTTATTACAAAATTAATCCCAGTCAACTTGATGAAGAATTTAAATTTTGTGATTAAACATTCCCTAATGTTTAAGCCACATTTAAAAAATAATGAAAGTGAGGCTTGGGACGCACTCCAATCATAAAATATAGTCTGGCACCATCCCATTCAATTCAACAGTTTACAATTAATTAGATTCAGGGAACACGATCGAAAATGGCTTCCCGTGAATAAAGTCTATTGTCTATAGGTTGTAGACCAGTAAATCGGTCCGTAATTGCCTACGCCGGCCAAATCACGATTTGCATGCCCTCAAAATCTTCAGTATTTGAGCATACTGTGGGCCATGAACAGGACGGTTTGTAAAAAATATGGGTGGAAGCCGTGCACAGGACTGTGAGCTTGTAGTTCCGTTCAATTTGGATGAAATTGGGGCCCTAAAAGCGCTCTATTTTGCAATGGAGTGTAGGCATCGTTTTTCAAAATGGCGATGGGCTTCAGGACTATTTTAAGGGGTGATCATCTTCGGATGGAAATTTCTCCTAAAAGTCATCAGTTGACCCCTCTAATACAGGTGCAACTTTTTTACTTTTTTAACATCGAAACGTCTTTCCTTTATGATGACAAAACTAAATATTGTTGTACCTTTGACAAATAGTACACTTTTTTACTTGAAAAGCAAACATCTCGGTCCATCCAATTACTGTTTAATTGGTTTACACTATAAACATTCAGCGGAAACAAATAACGATTATTAACAATGGGACCAACTTTTTTCAATCTTATGATTCGGGATTTAGAAGGTTACTCCCTGGCCATGAAAAAAATAATAATTGATTTCACAAATAAACAGTTATAGAAAACGTCATCCCACTACTTTCAATTACGAAATAATTAGACTCTCTGCGACACCACAAGTGTTTTCTCTGCGGTACACACCGTGTAAATCGTGAAATATTTCGCGGTCATTTCAACCACTGTCGACAACTTTAAAGTACCGAATGTGTATCGTAAAAGTGAGACCGTGAAATGAGTCACTCCGAGTTGTCGATGGAACGATGCGGTCATTGCGCCGGCGGGGGTGAATAAGAAATGGTGCATGGCCGTTACCTAATTCTTGCGGAAATGTTCAGAAGATTTCTTTAGAAGTGTTTCGAGAAAAAAAATTAAACCGCTCCATTTTTACAACTACTTCTTTTGTTGGTTGTATATCGGGCTATGTACTTTGTCATCATGAGCGTGAAGATCGGGGTTGGGGAATGATCGAAATGGCCATGGAAATAATCTTTTTAAAAAATGACAAATAAACAGTTGCAAAAACTAAAGAAATACGAGTGTATTCAATTAAGAAATACACTTTCTTTTAAAAGTTACTTCTTTCGTGCACTTTTATTTGTGATATCTTGGTACCAAACACTCAATAGTCAAGCCACGGACTCTTTCTGTTGGTCTTGGGCTAATGTTGATACGCATGGTTTTACTCAGTTTGGTATTCTTATTTTTGGCCACAATTCGAATATTTCCATTGTTTGTTTGTTTAAAAACAATTCCAGTTAGCTAGCTACTAACATGCACGACCGTGATCTCACAAGTTCATCGCCTTTAGAACTGAACGCCAAAGAATAACAGATAGTGCTTCAAAATTGTAGTTATTTCTATTCCGTAGGGCATTCCGGACACCTAACCGTACCGTTTTGTTTTCAACCCTTTTCAGAAAATTGATACTGTTTTTGTTCATAATTATAATTCAGTCCATAATGGACCACTTTAAAACCAGAAATCATGACTCATAATTTTGTGGGTTTTTCTGAAGGCGCCTTTATCTAGCATGAGAAAGTCCCTCCATTATTTAATCGGTTGCAAACCACGGACTGTTGGATAAGTTGGAGTGCACATTGGGTGGGCAGATCGTTACCCTGCATTCGGTTGTCCCCGCAAGCGAGACCATGAAGCTTGCCCCGGCCCGAGCTAGCGAGGCCTTGCAGCGGCCAGGCCGGGCCACGTTGCTTGTCGCTGCTCGGCAGACCTCGTGCCCGGATGAAATCCAAGAAAATGGCATTGAAGAATTTGGGTTGGGAGTTCCTGAATTGGAAACAATTTGTGACTGGGAAAAATTTAAAATTAAATGGCCGAGAAGCATATGTTTGAATGCAGGTTTTAATTCCGTGTTAATAACTGAGGAATTTCAAGACTTTTTGGTAAAAAAAACCAAGGCCGTTGCACTTTCCGAGGATTCCTTTATTTACAGTTCATGCGTCGCCTCCAAGCTTACTATCCATGGCCTTATATCAGAATGGATACTGATGGGGCCTTCAAATTATCCGAAGTTCAAGTTAAAAACTCGGTCACTACACAACAAAAACATCCCTTAAAATAATATAAGTTCAATTCGCGTTCATATCGGCCCCATGCAACCCTCTAATAAAAGCATGACCGCCAAGGTCGGGATTATTACAATGCCTCTTCCATCTGCTTGACTTGCTTACATAAACAGAAATGCACTTTTTACATTTCCTTACAAGATTGATCAATGTTTTACAAGCTAATGGCTACGACATAAATACAATTCGCTGGAAAGAAAATGTGCTGGCTGGAACTGATTAGGGCCTACAGGCCTAGAACGTTGCCGAGCAACGGACTACAACAAAATAGAGACACAACAGACCTCGTCACAGAATGTTACGTAATCGGCAAACATGCGTCACCTCATATCCTGGAAACGTTTAATGTGTACATGTGGGCTTGGTTTTAATGATTAGGAGTGTTTTCGATAGACGTGATTGCTAAGTAAGTCTATAAGTTTGATAAAAGGTAGTTTTTATCATTCTTAAATTGCATCCTACACGCATACAGACACAGACTTTGTGATCAAAAAATTCAAAACTTAAAAACGTTTTCCTCTTAGAAGTCGGTTTTACGCGATAATCCGCAGCTGTATACCTCTGCAAACTACTTCAGTGATTCTTCGTTTACTGTGCTCTTTACTAAAAACTAACGTATCCACTGATGAAAATTGCTGTTACCTCAACTTTCCCAGAAAAATCTGGAGTGTATGATTATTGGTCAGATTTGAAGTTGCGATTGTAACTTCGCAAAAAAACGTACGCCTACCACCGACACTGACTAGGCTCATTTTCATATCCTTTTGGTAGTTGTGATGCAAGAGAGAAAATTTTGGCTGATAAGCTGAAAAGAAGAAAAGGGGCTGGACACTTGGAGGATTCTACCAATTTAACAGATACTGTTCTGCTGATTACAATCAATTGTCTTCTCAAAATCAATCAGTATAGATTTAAGTTGTCTTTGATTTGATTAGTAATCTTTGTTCGTGGACAAAAAAAGATTACTGCCTATGATGACGTATCTATTTGTATATTTCGTAAATTAACTGCTACCCTCATTAATTTTAGCACTTCATATCATAGACATGACATACATGTATCACATTTCAGAGCCATTGCATTCTCTTATTTCTCAGCTTTTCTGTGTGAAGGACAGTTTTATGTCAACTTATCCCCTGGTTAACCGCAAGTTGAACCACAAACACTAAAATCACATCCGTACCAACTCCAATCCCTGTCCTGCATGATGTCATTGTTAACATTTAAAGCCCCTTTTTCACTTGACAGGACTTTTAAGGAGTTTGCTTTGTCCGCAACGGAAAACAATCTTCCGCTGAATTCTGAAAACGGATGGGAAGAGTGTGTTGGGCAAAGGCTACATTTTGTTTTCTGTGTAAATTGTGGTTAACATAAGCATAAAATATTGTCTGTTTACGGCTTTACAGGATAGCTACATGTACAACAAAGTCTAACAACAAAACAAAAACTGTCCACATGCCTAAAAATATATTAAGCTTCATTTAAACAAAAGCAAGAGTGTAGTGGGCATCCTGATGAGTCCATGTCAGGGGCGTAAATCCCGTGGGGATGGGGATACATCCCCCGCCATTTGACCAGGGGGGTGGGCCATTGTCCACCCCCCCCCAAAAAAAATGTTGATTTTGCGGTATTTCTCGAACTTCCCAGCAAAAAAAAAGGAATGAAAAACGAAGGAAAAGTACAAATCTGTTTGACGTAAGGTTAGGCACGTAAGCGCCCCCAATATTGTGAAGCGCTTAGAGACCTTTGGTATAATATAAATCGCTATACATGTAGCGCCACATTATTATATTATTTTATATTATTGCATAAGATGGACATCTGTATTATGAACAGCACCCCATGGTGTAATGTGGTGTCATTCGGGCTATATTGCCAAACAAATCAAACGGAAGTTTGTTTTGAGACGTAGGTAATAGTTAAGAATATAAGTAGATCTTTGATCAAGTTCACGAGTAGGTGTCATTTATTTGCACACACAAAAAAGTTCAACGGATTGATAATCAACACTGAGACTTGTTATTACTAAACGCCAAGAAATGCATTCATGAAATATTGCGTAGGATTGATTGATTATTGTTGATCCGATCACGCATATCAATAGGTCTGTGGGTAGCATTAAAGCTACAACACTCAAGCCCCCAAGCATCTTTTATTGCACAGTGTTTTTTCTTTCAAGTTGGTCAAGCCTTTTGTCACCGACAGACATGACAGCGCGCCAACAGACGGCCTCCAAAACCAGCCCCCGTTGTGACAAACTTTTCTGTTACGACCACCACACATGTCAAGTGCTACCTATGCATACAGCAATGAGTGACTGGCGAATTCCGGTGGCATGCGTCATCGTATAGTGGGGATTTCACGGCTATATAAACCGCGCACAACCGCTCACACACTCAAATTTAAAGGCTGTAGTCCAACTCGCGCTAGGGAACAACAGTCCAGGCAAAAGTAAAATAATCTTGTCAAGTTTAGGGACTAGCATTCATTGGAAGTGCATGTAAGCTTCATAAACACAATTGTGAGCGATTCAAGATGTTAACAAGTACTTCTGAGAAGCTACGATGGGTGTTTTTGCTCGTCTGTTGTGCGGCTCTCGTGACGGGTTTCCCCAGTATATCCGATGACCCCGAGGTGGCTGAGACGACATTTGTAAGTTTAGTTATTTTAAGTGTTTGGTTTCACTAGAAGTAGTAGTATAAGTGCTGTATTCTGTCTTGTTGGGGCACAGATAGAAGAGCACTATATACATCTTGACAGCAGAGCCCCGATGGCTGCGAATCGATATGTGACGGGTCACTCAGTTAAGTTTCTGTCAATTGCTTTCGCTTATAAACCCAACCCCCTAAAGAGGCTCTTTGGGGGTCAAGGACTAAAGTATACTACGTGTTGTGCACACTTGTATGGAAATAAATGATACTACAGGTTACTACTCTACTCAGTAGTATTTTGTAGCTTTAGGGGCGGTTCTAATATGCCCCATACACTTAAGAAGTTAAGTTACAACCCCAGTGATAAAATATTGTAAACTGACAGCTATTTTGGTGTGTTTAAATGTACATGTTAATTAAATCAACCTTCTTTGAAGACGTAGTGACCTAATTTTTATTTCGCATCTGGATGTGGGATGACAGGTCCTCGACCATAGTGATTTGTATTGCTTTTGTTTTCCCAATGCCCGTATCTTGAGTGTGATGTATTTTTTTTTTTATGTGGCATGAATAAATAATAATGATAATAATAAAGTGACGTAGGCCCTATGCACATATATGTACATTGCCAAAGGGCCAGACTGGGACATTGAGTGCTGACAAACATGGAACAAAATTCAGGCCAACTTCACTCACTTTTTAGCCGACAAAATTCTCCCAAATTTTCATGAGGCAAAGACAAGTGTCCTCAGTATTTCACCCGCTAATTTTGAAGTTTCAATGGTGACTTTTCTTCAACATTTTGCATCTGAGAGTGAAGCCAAATGACTCTACATTCTTCAACATTTTGCATCTGCACTGCAAAAACTGGAGTGTTAAATTTACACCATTGGTATCTGGTGTTAAATTTTACTGGTGTTGTCCTATATAGATACCGAATGGTGTTAAATTAACACTACTGATTTTGCAGTGTGAGAGTTTTTGTCACACTCGAGTGTGTCCAAAACATTCAGAGTGCACTCTTAAAAGTTCCTGGCCTGATCGTGGAGGAAGGAATCAACCCGGAATCCGGGTCAGTTTTGATCTTCTGCGTCACTGCATGACAACTTGTCATGTAAAAAGACAACTTAATCTGGGTCCAATTTGATCTTCTGCGTCACTGCATGACAATCTGTCATGTAGTGACAACTTAATCTGGGTCCAATTTGATCTTCTGCGTCACTGCATGACAATTTGTCATGTAAAAAGACAACTGAATCTGGGTCCAATTTGATCTTCTGCGTCACTGCATGACAATTTGTCATGTAAAAAGACAACCCGGAATCTGGGTCCAATTTGATCTTCTGCGTCACTGCATGACAATCTGTCATGTGAAAAAGACAAGTTGAATTTTCTTATAGTAAAAAAAAAGACAATTCTATGTGTCAAATGATACTTTTTTCTGGGTCGAATGGCCGGAAAGGTGACTCGGAGGAGTGTCATTTTGACCTGTAAAAGTGTCGAATCTTTGGATTTGGGTCGAATCTGAGCCGGGATTTTGTAAAGAGTGCCCGATGAGAAATGCTCCAAAATAAATACTCCATCATTGAGGTAGAATTCGTGGTACCACTATGAGTTTGCTGACATGCCGGCAGTTTGCTAACGGTTAGCTGCTTCAGCAACCAGTAACCTTGAGAGAACACATTGGCTTAATTTATAGAGATGTTGAAAGTAATTGCCTCCCTGTGGCAAAGTTTGTTGCTTCAGTTGCTTGTTTGTGGTACCTTTGTGATTGTGAATATATTTATGTTTTTACGTACATTGTCAAATGTCATCAGAATAAGGAAAATCCATCTGCGTCATTTGTATAACTAGAGCGACCCAAGAATGTTATCAAGAGATCATGAGATAGGCCTATGTAATAGTGTTTGCTGTGCTTGGGATGGGATACTTTATGTCCAGTGATAGATAAAGTCGTATTTACATTCGTAGTATAATCAGATATGGATATGCTAATATGCACGTAGGAGTTATCAAAAAGTAGAGTTGACTCGCTTCCATTCTCGCAATTCTTGGTAATTTGCGACCCAACCGTAAAAGCCTGCGGACATCGCACACCAATGACTTTTCACCCAAACACCATTGAGAGGTCAAAAGATTTTTTTTTAACTTCGTGACTTCCTCTGCAGCTTTAACAGAAATTTTCCGAGGTTAACGCGTTTGATGGCCAAGCTACTGCCCCTGGCGACGGCTAGGCCTATTTTCATTGGCTCAACCGGTCGGCATGGAAACATCGAAAGGACGGGCAGCATCCGATTCGTATAGGCCCTATGGCCCAATAATCTTTCAGCCGAAATTAATTGGCTGACTATGAAGCCCGGGAAGGGACAGGGTGGATTTTTTTTTTGCAATTTGCTAATTCGTTCCCACGAATTGCTAACTCGTTCCCACGAATTACTCATTCGTTCGTACGAATTGCTAACTCGTTCGCACGAATTGCTATTTCATTCGCACGAATTGCTAACTCGTTCGCACGAATTGCTAATTCGTTCTCACGAATTGCTAAATCGTTCGCAAGAATTGCTATTTCGTTCCCACGATTTCCTAATTCGTGGGGACGAATTGCTAACTCGTGGATCCGGGAACGCGTTAGTAATTCGTGGGAACGAGTTGGTAACTCGTGGGAACGAATTAGCAATTCGTGGGAACGAAAAAGCAATTCCACCCTGTCCTTTCCCGGGCTTCATAGCTGACTCTCCTCGCTGCCGAGTTACAAGCTTTTTTTTCTGAGCTGTGGTTGGGTCAAAATCTATTTTCCCCCTCAATCAGATCAAAGCAAAACTCATTCAGACCATTTTTGCATAAGTTAGTAAGTCTATTAGGCTTACAACACAGAGAGTACAACTCTGTGCTAAAAGCGACGATAAATTCGCATATTGTAAACAGAACATCTTTGTCGCACAGTTAACACTGTTATTTATTTTGCCGCAAAGACTGTGCCAAGCCGTGTTGTAAAATTGTTACATCGCTACAAAAGACCTTTGTTATTGTTTCTTTTTCATTATCAGTTGGTTAATTTGAACTCAACAAGCTGATCTTCCGTGCTGATTTATTACGTTGTACTTCCTTTTCATAGTAGGGCGCTTAAATTGTACATGGAAGACACGCTTTTTGTTGCTATAGAGACCAAGGGTCACTGACAAAAAAATTCCCCTCTGCCGATTTCCTTTCCTAAATATATAAATCAGTATTTATAGTGCGTGAGTCATACACATTGTGCCAATGATAACTTCCTGTATTTCAAAAAAGGGAAAGGAAACCACCATACTTACAGGAAAGATTGCACTTTTTTGGTTGTTTGGTGCCATGTCGCGTAAAGGACTAAATGATCTTATTAATGAAATTTCAAGCTGCTTATTCTTCGATGTACCCACTTCATTGAAATTATAAACCGCATTCCAAGATTTCCATATTAGTACATTTTGTTAAATATGGGCCATTCTTTAAATTTATTGTCCAAAGTGTGACATTTTTCCTGTAACTGTTACCTTGGTAATTTATAATTTGCCGTAAATATCATTAATAATGACTTCAAATGATTTTTTTAATTTGTTGGGCTGGTAGTTTGCTATTCATAATCACTCTTTGACGACGACTGCATCAAGGAGTACATCCAGATTTATAAAATCATAGATGTCAGATGTTACAGGGACAGACAGGGGGAAAAAAAGATGACCCCAAATTTATAGAATGACCCGCATACAATGGACCGATCCAGTAAGCACCGCCCCATGGTGTTCTGACCAATCACAGCCATAATTTATGTCTGACGTGCGTGCACTAACCCGACATGCGTGCACGCGCGTATGACGCATTGGAGAGGAGCACGTGTTAATTTGCCCACGTGCGCACTGGGCGGAGCTTACTGGATCGGTCAATTAAGTAGGCCTATGTGGGTCGTGAACTCGAAATGTCCCCCCCCCCCCTACAAAAATGTGACCCTAGTTACGGTACTTGTAATTAAGGACAATGAACATTGTCAAAGGAACTACCTTCGTCACAGTTAATTGGAATTATAATGAGATATTTTGTAATGCAAAATATCCCCAACCCCTACAGAACTTTCTGACACGGTACGGCTACTTGAACACCCCGGCCTCCGAAGAAGCAGACATCGCGACCATCACCGACGTCCAGTCCGCCATACGCCGCGTGCAGTACTACGCCAACCTACCGGAGACGGGCACGGTGGACGACGACACGTTACGGGCGATGAAGATGCCGAGGTGCGGCGTGCCGGACCCCACGGGACGGAGCGTGAACGGTACGGTACTGGGCGGCCGGCTGAGACGGTACGCTCACACCGGCGGCCGGTGGCACAAGAGGGATCTGACGTACAGGTGAGGGCTTGAATACATAACAGCGTTTATTAGAATACAAAACCTCTTTCCTCATTTGCTCATTTATGTCCGACTTTGTCGAATGCTTTGAAGAAGTCATTGCGGGTGACTGATATCACTGGATCTTTTCATGTATAGCATGTGGCAAGTTATTAATGTGCGAACAGAAATGCACATTTTGCCCCTGAGAAATATTTGGAGAAATGATAAAGTAAAAAGTGCCTTACTTAAGGAGAGAGAGCAACACAATCTCTGGCTGGGTCTAACACAGAGAAAGGACCATAGATGGGTTTAATGCTGCCGCCCCAAAACATTGTACATTTATAGGCCTATCTATACATGACAAAATGGGCGGCAATTCTTACAAAATAAATTCCTGCATTTTAGTGTTATTTTAACGAAGTAAATTAGTTCATTGAAAGTGTGAAATAAGTACAAAAGTTGAAGTAAAGTCAGTCACGAGCCAATGTGGCCCATCAGGCTGGCATTTAGCTCCGGTTTCAGTAGCATGAAATGACTGAGAATATTTCTACTCCCCCTGGATGGGATGCTAGTCCATCGCAGGTTACTCCCCAGTTAATGCCGGTACCATACTATTGGGTGGAGAGAGGCAAGTGGGGGTGAAGTGGCTTGCCCAAGGACACAACATGGCCAGCAGCTGGATTCGAGCCCCTGACCCTCTGATCATGAGTCACAAACCCCAACCACTCGGTCATACACCCCAGTATAGCCCTCAATAGCTGAGCTGAGGCTGGTCAAGCTTATATATTTGAAATTGGCAATACTAACAACGCGAACAATAACTTCATTTTCATTCGGTACCCTTCAGAATCCTCAACAACCCTCCGGAGCTTTCATTCAGCGAGGTAACCAACACGATCCGTGAAGCCTTCAAGGTTTGGAGTGACATCACCCCGCTGAGTTTCCACGAGATCACGGGGGCCAACTACGCCGATATCTACCTGAAGTTCGCCCCGTACGATCACGGCGACCCCTTCCCGTTCGACGGGCCAGGCGGTACCCTGGCCCACGCCTACCCGCCCCTCAGCGGATTCAATGATTTGGACGGCGATGTGCATTTCGACGACTCTGAGATGTTCACCATCGATACGTACGATGGTAAGTTTACTGACTGATTGACTGACCGACTGATTAGTTGACTGACTGTGTGACTGACTAATTTACTAACTGATTGGCTTACTGACCGACTAATTGATTTACTGGATGAGTTATTGACTGGTTGACTGGCTGACTGACTGGTTTGCCGATTGAGCAGATTGACTGATCGGATTGATTGACTGACTCCCCGTTGACTGATTATTTGGCTGTTTGAGCTGACTTACTGGCTGGCTGACCGATTTTTTGGTTGATGTACTGACTGATTGTTTGAACGATTGGTTGGTTGACTTAGCGATGGGATGACTGACTGGCTGATTACCTGTTTAACTGACTGGTTCACTTAAAGATTGGTTTACCAATTATTGACCTATTGGTTGATTCACTGCCTGACTTAGTTTCTGTAACTTACTGACTCCCCGACCACTTGACCACTGACTGACTTAGATAGTGACTGACTGACTGATCATTTAACCGATTTATCAATTGGCTTGACTGACTGTAGGATCGATTGATTGATTAACTCATTGGTTGTTGATTACTTTTGTCTTTCCAGGTACAAATCTTCTCCAAGTCGCAGCACACGAGATAGGCCACAGTCTGGGCCTGTCTCACTCGGCCGTGCAGGGCGCCCTCATGCAGCCATTCTTTCCTGGTTACGACCCTAATTTTAAGCTGCACTATGACGACATCCTGGGCATTCAGACCATCTACGGTAAGGAAAGACGTCAAATGGTGAACACTCAAAAACAAAAAGTATCTTTTTGGTTCATTCTTGATGGCAGGTGTTCACGCCACTTTTAATATATCTTCACAAATTCCTATTTAAACATGGATATTTCTTTGACCTAAATGTTGTCTTTATGTTTGCAGGATCCGGAGGACCGCAGCCTGGACCCAACCCAGACCCAACCTACCGCCCAATACCTGACCAGACCCAAGCCCCAGTCACCGTGCCCAGGCCTAACAAGGACACCTGTAACAAAGCCTTCACGGCTATGGCATACATCAGGGGAGAGATATTCGGTTTCAGGGTGAGAGTGGAATCCAAATGTAATCCTTATATGAATCGGTATCGATTCTATTCTGTCTGATGTCGAACGGCCACCAATAACGAATAATCGATACCATACATTCATGAAGCCAAAGCCTACTCAAAGAACCAAATCTTACTTAAACCGCACAGGTAAAAAGACAAACAAACAAACATTATCAGAGATACACCCTCGAAGTACCATAGGGCAGAGTTCTTGTCGCCATATTAACATTTGAATACGTCTAGCCGTGACAAACTATATACTGGTTCCGACCTCGTTTATGTTGAGTAAGAATGTCACAATATTATGGTGGGATCGGAACCAGCCTATTCAACCATACCGAAATTTTTGTCCCGGCTATATGCACTGGGGATGGAACGAAATTTGACCTAACAACGGCAGCTTTTTATTGGGTAATGGTGTAGTTTAGGACACCTCTGGTGCTTTACAAGTTCCTTTCGTAAATCAAAACCCTGCCCTCTTTCCACAAAATTAAACTAGCTGATATTCAACACGGTATAGCGAAGTATTTAGATGATTCCAAACACATAAAGTAACTTAACCTGCTTGTCATCTCCAACGTAATGTTGAGGTATTAAGTCCCAAAACACAGAAGCGTCTTTTCGTGCTTCATCTTATATGGAACGGGGCCCTAAACTACACGATTACCTTTTATTGTAACCTGGCCTGCCTAGTCTGACACAGACTGAACTTGACCTCCTTTGTGGTGTGAAAAAATCATCGAGTAAAGTCTCAAAATTTAATTGCGACACACTGAATTATTCTACAGTGACGTTTTCTTTCAAATAGCGCCAGAGTCAAATGATCGATTCCTTTTTTTATTGGTCTTCTATTCGACAGGGTGCTCGATACTGGAGAATCGCCCGTGAAGGCCAGCTGATCTCGCATCCCGAAGGAGACAAGAACAAGTATTTCTGGGTCGGCCTTCCTGCTAAGATTGACGCCGGTTACGAGAGATGGCACGACCAGAAATCACTGTTTTTCAAAGGTAACTCTTCCGATATATTGCCCGTTGTAAAAATCGTTTCTCAGCGATCGTACATCAAAGGCTCCTACCAAAAGCCCAATTCGATTTTTAGCAAACACGTATTTTCAAACTCTCAATATTTGTAAAAATAGATAGCATACTATAAGAGATAATAACAAAGAATAAATATTTGTTTAAATTGTAAAAGTAATGTAACAAATACTGTGAAATAAAGAGATCACAATTAGATGTTTTTCGTTTAGTGAAAAACACTGGAAATTTTAATTGCTTTATCATTCAATGACGGAACATTCAATGAAGGAAGAAGAACATTTTCAAGGATATGCTGACCCAATTTTCGCAAAAGTTTTTACCCATCAAATCGCAACAGGCCATAAAAAAACAAATCTTTATATTGCGCAATCAAAACCGATCATTTTTTTAAAATTCATCCTGTTTATAATTTTGTAACAAATAGGAAACCAGTACTGGCAGTTCGATGGTATTACACTACAAGAAGGATTTCCGCGGTACATCAGTGATCTTTCACCCGACCTCCCGACTGACATCGACGCAGTTATGACGTGGAAGGAATTCAGCAAGACCTACTTTTTCAAGGTTTGTATTATACACTCATCGTGACGGATTGGCGCCCTCTAGCGCCGAGATTTTACGGCGCTCGAAGTTTGATGGTGGCGCTATCTTTGGTGTCCTTACTTCCTTTTGGGCAAACCGTTGCAAGCAAACCAACGAAACACAATTCCATGCTTCAGTTGTTGGCAAGTTCGCGCAAGAACTATTGTTGACTATTGGTTAACCATAGTTCGACTAAAGTTAGCCCGAACTCTGTCTAGTCGACGGTGGTGGACTACGCTAGTCGACTATTTGGAACCAACCTACTGGGGCTGGTTGCATCGCTGGTAACCAATAGCCGCGCGCCTTCGTAACGTTCAGCAGGGAGCCATGGTCCAGAAGTTTTGCGATGTATTTTTGACCAGCGTTTGACAAGAGACGTTCGCACGTTGCTATATTAGAGCGCAGGCGTAAGGTACGTCACAAATCAACCACTAGTCGACTAATGGTCCTTGCCCGAACTTGGCCCGTGTTGCGCCCTCACTGGTATTTTTACTACTTCTTTTTTCCATATATATGGATTTTCTTAACCACCACTGATTGAGTTCGAGACACTTTTTGACTTGGTGTCCTTTTTTTCTAACACCAATTCCCAGTTCGCATACGCGACTGCATGCAATCGAAATTTGTTGGTATTCTTTCGACCAATCGTGAATGGCGTCTCATATCTGCTTGGTTTGTGCAGGGCAACATGGTGTGGAGGTTTGACGAGGTCTCCCAGACGGTGGACGCTAATTGGCCGTATCGCACCAAGGATATCTTCCCTGGTGTGCCCAGCAGTCTTGGATCTGCTTTCCGTTTCAGAGACGGTAAGTTGAAGCGAACGAGGTATATTTACAGTGCCGTACGGTACCAGAGATGTAGTCCTCACATAATTCTCCTTAGTTTGAGCATGGAGCTAAAATTGGTTGGAGCACAGTCTTTAGCTGCCTCATAAGCTACTTTTACATTGTTCTCAGTCTCTTATGGAGACTGTAGGCAATTCGTGTAAACATGTCTGAAACTTCTTGCGTACAAATATGCTAAATGCTATACATAACAGGGTGAGTAAAAAAAACACGAAACCCAAATGTCGGGACTATTAGTGAAATTCTGCATGTATCACTTTCATAATCTACGATATGAAAGCCCCATTCATAAGCTTTATTTAGTACAAGAATCATTAAAATCACTCAGTTACTTTTCAAGTTACGGAATTTTAAACACAACATCCGTTTTAAGTTGTGTCCACGGATCACAAAAAGGTGTGCGTTCTCTCAGCAAATTGAAAGCAATTCACACATCCCTATGTGATTTGTGTTCGATTTGATGAAAGAACACCTTTTTGTGATCCGTGGACAGAGCTTAAAAACGGTGGTTGTGTTTAAAATTCCGTAACATGAAAATTACGTGAGTGATTTGAATGATTCTTGCACTAAAAGAAAGCCTATGAATTGGGCTTTCATATCCCAGATTTCGTAAGTGCTACACGCAGAAATTCACTAAAATAATGGTCCCGGCATTTGGGTTTCGTTATTTTTTTATTCGCTCCCGAAAGTAGTTCTAGAGAGGCATGCATTGCCCTGTGCGATCGTAGTAATTTCGGTCTGGCAATTTTTTTTTCCTTGCCCAGGCAACGGTTACTTCATCCGCGGGCGAAAGTACTGGCGCTACAACGACACGTCCAAATCGGTGGACCCGGGATTCCCACGCTACTTCGGGTCCGACTTCCTGAACTGCAACCTGGAGGAGATCCTGGAGGAAGAGGCCAGGGAGGGGGCGAACGGGGCGGGAGGGATCAAGGGCGCCCTCAGCGTCCTGGGTCTGACTATGGCTTTGCTTTTGAGCTTATGAATCAATTTTGTGAGAGTCTTCAGATAGACTGATTCGTTATGCATTCTTGACTCAGGTCTTCTGAAACTAATTTGGCGTTCATTCCACTTATGCTTTGCAGTGTGTGGTTATCAGTTCTGCCCATGAGGTTTTTATCATCATATTTAAATTAATTCAGTAAACCTAAAGGGATCTGATCGTAATATGTTTATTAAGGGGAATGTACAACATTTGCATTTGCTGCAATTTTCAGTAGTAAATGGATTTTGGGAATTAAAATGTCATAGCAAATATTGTTAAACTGACTTGTTTCACGTTTTGGGCTTGAAGATGCAGGAAAAACCAAGAAAAACATCATGTTCTTGTAGTCTGGTTTCCTGACCTCACCTAAGATGAAACGGAACAATTTGTCGACTTCGGGGAATTGTAAGGTCAGAGAATCAGTCCGGCAGGCTTGTACTCCTTTATATGTGTGTAACATATTGCATAGAAAATGCGGGTAACGTAATTATGAAAAGTTAAGAGCAGTTTTTGAAGAGAACCAAAAACAGTTTTCTCCAACGCTGGTCGGCCGACCAGCGTTGGGAAAAAAATACACTATTTCTTGAAAAGTTAAGCACACCAGGAGCCGCGATTTTACAGGATGCTTTAGACTGTCATTCCCTAACAATCCATCCAGTAAGATATTTCGTGATAATTTGATATTTCGTTTTTTGATGTTGCAAATGTTGTATCTTCCCTTTAAGACAAACAATCAATATGTCTGTTGTTCTGTCTCTGCGTCACCTGAACAGCGCCCCCAGCGTAAAAGACAGTACTGTTTGAAAACAGTTGTTATTTTTTAGACCTTCGACGATTATGGCTGAAAAAAATGTTAAAAACTTGCCTTGTGGCCTTCATTCCGTCTGTATTGTGGTTCAGCTGTGGAGTAGAAAAACACGGCGTCAGTATTTTTGTAAGTTCCACTTATTTAGGCCAATAAAAAAAAAGTGATTTTACGAAAGTTTAAATTATTAAAGTACTAATAGGCTCGACATAGAGCCTGCGTGTTGAAGCTGGTTAGGATTTATTCTCGTCGATTCTCGTTTTAGACATCTCGCGGGCGAGATGTGTTTGCTTTATGTAAATAATGGCTTTGCCCCATGCTTCCGGGCTGAGTGTTGATGCTGTATCAGTATTTTTGGTAAACGTTGTGTATTTAACCGAATAAAACAGTTTTGCCTATTATAGCAACAACAACAAACTCATGTTTTGTACCTAGATATGCTGTGCTATAAGTAGATCCCTATTAATACTATGATTACTTTTACTGTCTGGACTCGTCAACAGTTGGAAAAAGATTGGACAGGAAAGGTCTTCTCCTTTGAAATTTGTAAGAAGGGGGAGGGAGGGGAGGGGGAACGGCCGTCGCGAGTGGTAGAGGAATTTATACTATTTTCAACTTGCATGGTTTAACGAAGTTGTTTTCAAACACAGAGGTTTAGCAGCCAGCGTTATTAAGATAATAGTACCATAACTGAATGAATTTGAAGCTTGTCAACAAAGAAGTTTGGCAACACTGCATAAAGAAAGTAGGGGGAAACGTTGAAGTGCGCCAGGATATAGGGTACTCCGCTATACACCCTGCGAGCAGACTGGCTCCCAGTCCCTACCAGGAATCCGAGAGGGGCCAGGGCGGGAACCAGTACACCCGAGAACGTGAGCTAATGTTTTCATTCGCTGTCTCAATAAAAAAAAAATAAGAATTGTTTCCACTGCTCCAAATATTATAGCAATTTCAAAAACTAATCTGTTTTGGGGTGATAGTTGAAGGTAACACATGCAGCAACACACAATCCCAAGCACAGACAGTCTTATTCCGTAGTTGGGACAACCATGGAGGAATAAGAACACAGGACAACACACGAGTTGTCCCATGATACTATGGGGACCGAAGGCGTTGTGGGGACAGCAGAAAGTCCCCACAACTCGCTCCTAATTTGCCTCACAATAAACAACTTGCCCATAACGCGGTGACGGCCCGCTCACACAATACAAGTGTGTATTTGCCTGCAATCGGGGACCCAGCATTGTCCCTCTTTTGTTTGTACTCTACTTTTTTAGGAAGACTTCCCATGTGTTTTTTACACTTTCGCCAAATTGGGAACCTTCGGAAATTGGGGACCCTATCCTCCTATATTGGAGGAAAAAAACTTAATTTTTACTCCCACTGTTAGAGCGTACAAAGTGGGGTTTTTTTTACACTTTCGCCAAATTGGGAACCATCGGAAATTGGGGACCCTATCCTCCTATATTGGAGGGGGAAAAAAAACTTAATTTTTTCTCCCACTGTGAACTCTCTGATTTATCACGATTTCCTTGAGTGTTCCTCTTCATTTTGCGACGAATAAACCTAACCCCAAAATGCCTCTAAACCTATTTTTCAGAGAGGGGGAACCTTGTGTGGACGTGGGCAAATCCACAAAACGTTCACACTTCCTGCATCCTGTGGACTTCTTGTGTTCGCAGGTCCACAAAGAGTAAACACCTTCAATCGTGGACCCCCTATTGTCCCTTGTTTGTAAGTAACTTTTTAGGAAGATGTCTCATGTTTTTGTACACGATCGCCAATTGTGGACCTTCGGGAATTGAGGACCCTAATGTCCTCGCTTGTTCAACGTCCCCTATTGAATGCAAAAACAAACTCACACACACAGAAGATTGCAACTTACCCACTTGTGGCCGAAAAAAATAGTAAATCACTCAATCATTCAAAATACAATTTAATATACATTTGAGTAAAAATCAAACTTTATTACGGAGGGAACTTTTTTTTATATGGTGTATTCGAGATCATTGCCCCAGATACGATAGTGCAACGCGTGCTGTTTCCTATGAATTCTTGGAGAAATATGAAACTACACGGAAGAAAGCCCTTCCTGCAGCGGACAGGAGTTGGACCTTTGACGGCCAGAGATCGGCCAGGATCCGGGTTCATGGTCCCGAGCCTACTGTAAGGAGGATTGGGAACTGCACGTGAATCAACACCATGCTATTCAGGATTTGTCTCGAAACTTAAATCCGAAGCAAAACAGAAGCTCTGATGTTGCAAGAGAATTTGAAACAAACCATGTATTATATAAACCAATAAAACCAATCAAATAAACCAATATATTAATACAAATTACAAAATATTTCGGGGAAATCATTCTTTTTCGAACTGTACTCAACTCCGCAGTGGCTTACGATGAACCTGATGTCTTACCCCAAAAACTTACACAAATCTGATTTTTGTTTTGTTTTTATCTCCTGACGAATTTTCTTTACTTAACGGAGAAAAAACATTTTCCGTTCAATGTCTGTCTTGAAGTCCTACGTAGGTTTACAAATATTACTAAGAACAGATTATTTTCTTTGAAACTTGCCTTTCTATTTTGGAGATTAAAGAAAATTTGGAAGAGGGCTTGCCCGGATTAATGAATTGCACAAGCCTTGACATAATGATGATATTGATGGTGATAATGATTATGCATGGTGCCATTATGGACATTATCATGATTGCCCGTCCGTTGTTAAAACTTGGAGATATTATTTGACACCAAAAGACTTGATCCGGGGAGAGGCAACGGGGGCAATGCCCCCATCTCCCACCACCACCTCCCCCCCCCTCCCAAAAAAACGACCCCAATTTATTTTTTTAAGTGACGTCGCAATAAAGGCAGGCAATGCGTACACAACCATCGTTTCCTAAAAGACAATTGGTTAAAGTGGTCAGAAATTGCCCCACGGATCGCACCACAGAGCATCTATAACCCAAAGGATTTCGGGGCCCTTAAGCGAACCCCAGGTCGTAATTTTCTGGACCCACTTTTTGGGGGACCTACAATTTTGCCCCCCCCCCCCAAAAAAAATGTGTTCTGGATCCGCCCTTTCATAAGAGTAGATTATACACTGAAAGTTTAATGTGATGCATGTCCACACCGATGCCTTGCTCGGTTTAACGACATACATGGAGCGTTTGCTTTTCACGCATTGTTCTCGTTTCCAATAATAACGCCACTCGAAACTCTCGGTTTAACGGCATACATGGAGCGTTTGCTTTTCATGCATTGTTTTCGTTTCCAATAATAACACCACTCAAAATGCAAAGAAGAAGGTTCAAAACTCTCGGTTTAACGGCATACATGGAGCATTTGCTTTTCACGCATTGTTTCCGTTTCCAATAATAACACCACTCGAAATGCAAAGAAGAATGTTCAAAACTGAACCTTTTGAAGTTTCAGCTCAGTGGATATTACACTTTTCGAGAAAACAGTGAAAAAAAACCTTGCACGTTCTTTCACATCTAATTTCATGGGGTGTTTAAAACCACGGCAATACGATATCAAAATAAGCGTTTCTGATAATATTTCGCTAGGTTACTTCTGAGATAAATGCCAATGATCCAATGCAGTGGCTTATGTGTGTCGGCGAGTGGGGAGGGGGGGGGAGGTGGGAGGTTTGACCAAAATCCCAAAATTGCCCTGCCGTGGAAATTCAACAAGCGGGGGAGGGGTGGGATGGGGTGGATACCCAGTACAATATGGGGCGCTGTTCATGATACATGTGTATCTATCTAGAAGATGGAATTTGCATCGGGTTGATGTAAACACCGAGTATATGGTCTTTAAAAAAAAATACATTTTATGTACATATTTCCACGCTTACGTGCCTTATAGGCCTAACCATAAAAACGGCGCATTTTTTAAAAACTTTTTTCTCCGTTTTTTTCAGAGCTATTCAACTATTTATGTGACGTCACACTATTGTTATAAGTGTAGATAATTATTTGTACGAATGTACACTTTACTGTAGATTATTTAAAGAATGTACATCCAACTGTAGATTTAAGAATCTACAGTTTTTTGTTGTGAATAGCCTCTGCAATTAACAATTCCAAACGAAACTGAACCAACTAGTTTTCGAAAGTGACAGTCCACTTTAAAATATAATTAATCAAAAGTTCGAATGTAGTTGTGATAAAATGTACGAATATTTTTTTTCGAAATAATTTGGCAGGCCCCTGATTTAAATTGCTAGCCTACTATTTTAACGTTCCATTTTAGTATTTTGGTTAATTTTTTACATTTTTTAATACATAAAATGTGGAATTTCTTTTCGTTTTTTGTACGATATGCTAATTGGCTCGTTGCAGCGCTTACGTCAGGTTATGCAATCAAGAATGTTCACCTAATCTCCTTTATATAGAGCTGCTTTAGTTCTAAGCATTCATTCTCGGTCAAGCGACACACCCTGCTACACCAGACTTGCCCACCCTTCCCAACCCATTTAAATTAACTCAATTAATAATGGAAATCGGTTCAGGGGGAGTGCACCTCCGCCGAGGGTCCGGGTTGCACCCACGTTTCCCCCACAGGGGTTTTTTCGTGGCCACCGAGTAGCAGGCCAAAACCTGTTACGCCGACACTCGGCATCGAACCGATAACACTCCTCAATCAAAAATATTTCTTTCAACAAATAAATAACTCATTAAATAGTCTAACAGAACTCAACATGACTTTATTCTTCGATTCGGCTATTTGTTGCCAAAAAATTGCCGATTTGCGGCTATTTGCACAATTTGTCGCTTTAAATCCAGGCACTGAAGAAATGTTTCTCTTTGAAATTGTTAACGTTCCAATTTTGCAGGAACATATGTTTATATAAACAGACGAATTTGTTCGTCATTGTTACCCGTACTGTTGGGTGGTCTTTTTCACTATTCCTCTACAGAAATATGGAACAACTATACATCTACCCTCCGCGACTCATCCCTCCGTGAACTGGCAAACAGCACACTGCCGTCTCTCTTGATGTCAGCAAAGGCCGAATCCACCACGACCAAGTACAAGGCTTCATGGACAAAGTGGGAGACCTGGGCTTCATCAAAACCAGAGATTACCAAGTTCCCGGTCAACCCATTCCAATTTGCACTCTACATATCGCATCTGTCATCCACCGGATCCAAGTCCACCGCCGAACTCGCTGCAGCAGCCGTCAAATGGGTGCACAGTTTGGCTGGTCTACCCTCACCAACAGACAACAGCATTGTCAAGATGGCACTGCAAGGCTTTAAAAGGCAGAACTCTTCACCGACCATCCGGAAAGACCCAATCACACCAGACATTCTGACAAAGCTGCATATCAACCACGGGCACTCCTCAGCAACACTGGCAGATCTGCGCATCCTGTTTGTTTGTTTCATTTCTTACGCCGGATTCCTTCGCTTCGATGACATAAGAAACATTAGCAGAAATGACTGTACAATTTCTTCAGACCGTCTTACCATACACCTTTGCAAATCCAAGTCTGACCAATTTAGGCAAGGAACAGATGTCGTGATCGCTAGAACTTTCAAACCGACTTGCCCAGTGCTCGTGGCCGAACGGTATTTTTCGGCTCTAGGCGATTCCAACAACTCAACCTTACCGGTGCTTCGCAGACTTGTTGCCCCCAAGAAAGGCCTTACATCGTCTACCAAACCACTCAGCTATACACGCACACGCGAGATAGTACTGGACGCTCTACGACCCATCGTCCCCGATGTTGCCACTTATGGTCTTCACAGCTTGAGATCAGGCGGGGCATCTGCTGCCTTCAACGCAAACGTTCCTCCATTCCTGATATCCAAACAGGGCAGGTGGAAAACGGAGAGCGCCAGGAACGTATATTTTCAGTTAGACAACAAGTCTAATTTGCTTGCTACTAGGAACCTTGGCATTTAAGACACAAGCCTCTTTTCCGGCTTAAAACCGATTTGCGGTTGGAAACACGTTCAAGTCTTACTTTTAAGTATTAAAAAGGCTGATTGAATACTGAGTAATAGAAAATTAAATTAAATTAAATTAAACATTTAATTTAGTCTTGCAAGTAAAAAAAAAAAAAAAAAAAAAAGAAAGAAAGAAATGAAGCACGGAGAAAATAATCCGATGCACAAGAATAACTTGTTGCTTTGATTCGTTTATCTAATAGAATGTTTTTCTCGAAGAATTCGTGGATGCTATTACGCATTATTTAAATAATGAATTGCGATATTGAAGAATATTAAACATTGTTCAGAAGATCTTGTAGAAGAAATGTTTAAAACGATACCGTGAATAATGTTATTAATGGAATTATAATATAGAAGAATATTAAACAGCAGGGTTCGCTCACGACCGATCCCAATGTTCACCAAAGCAAACCTAAAATTGTTGTCATCTTCCTCTTTGTCCAATGAATCTTCGCAGTTCACATGAGGTAAAAAATAGAAAAGAAATGTACTTTCTGACGGAAGAATGGAGGAAGAAAGTTCTCTTTCCATTTTTAAATTTGCCGCGATGATATATTTAATTTAATGTACGATGGCAATTATAAATTTTAACTAAATTGGCATATTATGAAACATTCTGCTTCTTTTAATGGTTTTTAGTTTCATTTATTTGTTTCATTCTTATCTCTGTTATTTATTATTTAAATTTGAATTTTAAATGTAAACCTAATTTTTATCGTTTTCTTTAAATACGCATTTTAACAATTTTCTGGTAAAGTTTATGTTGACATCTAGTCTTAACCCATTTAATTTTCGTTTTATTAAAACTCTTCCTCTGTTAATCAATTACAAAAAACTCCCGAAAGGACCATCCTAAAGACAATGGATGAATTACTGAAGAAATCAAATTACAAAAGTGACCACAAGAAACTTACCAATCAATACTTCTCAGAACATACTCCAAAGTAATGTATTTTCCCGTGGTAAGTGAGATGGTAATATTCCGATGTGTACTCCATGTAACAAATATCGATGTCAAAAATGTTGTTCTCATTTGAATGGACAATGACATATGATATAATATTTGCAGTCAATCATTATTTAAACATAAATATAAGGCTCACTTGTTGAATAATTACTTATAATTACTTATAAATTAATAATGTATAACGGGTTTACTTGTCATGTTACTCGTCATGTGCATGTTCCCTTGTATATTGTCTGGTGTATCTGTATGTGGTTTGTGTATGTGTGTAATGTAATTGTTGTAACTCACATTAAATGAACTAATTAATTTAATTAATTACAAATGTGGGGTCACTACTCGACAAGCCTTGCTTTTTAGAGACCCCCATCCACATTATTGTGATCTTAAGATTTTCTTGGCGTATTGTTCTGTATTATGTGGTAAATAAAGTAAGATTGATTGATTGATTGATGGTTCAACAAATCAAAGAGCTCTATGCTCAAATAAAAATGCTTACCAAAGTTTCTAGTGGTTGTTGTTAAAACTCCCCAATATCGTAAGATCTAATCAATAGCATTTAATAGTTTTCGTAATCCAGTATAATCCCGTAGCTGTAACATACGAGTACAAATTCCATTTTGGCTTTTGGAGAGAACGAAGAGAGTGTGTATACGCACTACACACCAATGACAGTGACTGTGTGTGAATTCATGAACAGAACACAAGATGTGCACCCATAAGAAGGGTTAACAATAGCATCTTGTCACGATGCAAGCACATGGCCAGGCAAAGTTGAAAAGATTGTACGAATCTACACTTGTTCACAAATGTGGAGATTGGGTATACCCAGCACAATATGTGACAGACGAGTACCCCCGCCCCCCCCCCCCCCCCATCTCGCTATACCCTATACACACTCTTCACTGTTGTTACCTAAATACATCTCCACTAGATATTTCAAAAGAATTCCTGAGTTCTGGTAACACAATGATCAACACAAAAGACGGGCTCTTCCCTCTGTTACATACCCGTGCTACATAATGTGGAACTGCAGAGTCGTGCTAGCGGCTTCGCCTCGTCCATTCTCAGCGCGAATCTGTACAGTTCCTCATCTATTCTCCTTAACTTAAATGCATTTTAGCTGCTGGGAAGTTTAAAAAATAACCTGGAAATCCACGGGTTTTTTTCTCACCACGAAAAAGTTGGGGGATGATCAAATGGCCCATACCCCTGGTCAAAAAGTGGGGGATATTAACCCGTCCCCCCCCCCCCCCCACCCCGGATTTACGTCCCTGGTCCAATGTGCCTTGAACTACGGGCTTGGTCTGCATCGTGTAAAACAATTCAGTGGAAATTGACGGATATCAAGACCGCAGGACCTTCGTAGAAATATGAAGGTTTCTGACAACAGTCTGACGAGTACCATATCATTATACATCTACCGGGTTCATACTGCAATTGTTGGAAGTCCAAACGGCCAGATAATGCCATACGTGGCCCTGGTTTGGTGCGGTTTCCTGGCAAAATGGTGACGATATTTCCGGTGTCAGAGAGGAAGGATCCTCCAATGACACAGCGTGCAGTATAAAAACACGGAGAGGCAGAACTGAAATGCCATTTAATTAATTCAACTGCGAACATTACTGGAAGGGTTTCAGTGCAGCACGGGCGCCGGCATTTCCTTGTCCTGCACGTAATAAGTCGACACAGCTGCATGCAGCATTGACCTCAAAGAGATTCCACCAGTTGATGTGATATCAGACTCATTTCTTGCCGTATCAATTTTAAAATAAAGTTGAAGGGTTCGGTCAGAATATATCAACATCTCCAACAGGACTGCCGGACTATGGCCAGTCTTACATTGACGTCGCTGATTAGTCTTGTAGTATCCCTACAAGCCGTTCTCTACGTGCAATCGAAGGAGGTACAGCACCTGATGAGTGGTGTGGTAAGTTGTGGTATTTTATAACCATTTCAGAAGGCTAAGCTATAGTTGTGTCCAGTATTTTCATAGTTTATACAATTATTTAGTGACTGGCTCTAGAGGTAAAGATTGAATACCTATTTAGTATCTATTTATCCACTTGACCTAGATATAATGTAATAATTATTTGAAACTCATAATTAATGTGTTCATTTAAATAGCATAACGTCGGTGCGTGGAAAAAAGGTCATAGGGGGTGTCAAACGGTCACATTCAAGTTTTTAGGGTAATCGATAGAGCCTTGAAATATCTTTCATTTGGTATATATTTTGCCTCAAAGGGCTACGTCATTCATACGTAATTAAAATAATGGAAGAAAGGGAAGTTTTTCATTATATTTTTACCAGCATAATGGCGTTAGCCCAATTGATTACTAATGTAACAAATCTTTTCCCTGCGCGTTACGTCCCTCTGCAATGCGGACGTAAAACAAAGTTTATTCTCAGCACTGAGAAGGTCGCAATGATTTAACATGCCGGTTAAGCGCACATCTAAGGCAGGAGGAGTTCAAGTACACTTAGTATTTGCTTGTATATACCAATTATTGGGTTATTGGTATGTGACTACGCAGTGCTTGAAATATTGCATGGCGTTTATGTTGCATTTGGATAAACAAATAAATAAATAAAAGAAGAAACAGCATAGCTAGAGGGTGTTTATTTGATTGTTCATCGAAGAAGATTATTCAAAACCACGTGGTATAAACTGCTCTAAATGCAAATTACTCGAGCGTCAACGTTGAATAGGCCCTTTTGACGTTCTTTGTTAACATACTATACAGTATTTTTATTGTTCAGGAGAAAAATAATATAGCCTTACAAAATCAACAATATCTCTGGTTTGCATTGATGGATTTTCTTGATATTTTCACCAATTATAAACAAGACGATAGGCTTTAAAACTATATATAATTTGATTAGCTAGTCTGACCAACTTTTGAGAAAATCAGCAATTTCTTTATGCGCAATGTTTATTGGGACATCCTGTAAATAACTTTCATGACTATTGCATTTTAAAATAGTGATTACACAACCTAAATGAGTTGTACGGATGTGTTGGGCACAAAGTCAAGGTGTGTTAAAGTCTAACGGCAAAAGAAGGATATGTCGCAAGGCATTTTACAATGTAAAATCGATTCTCGTCTTTTTTTTGTATGACTCACTTTTCGAACAGCTGTTTCGGGGTCACATTAACAATACAATATTACATCTTCTTTAAGTTACAGAAAAGACGATAGTAGTTTTTTTTATCGTCCGCTCTTTGAACTCTCTAAGAAATGGGCTGAACATCGTGCATGGTTTTATTTCAAACGATGTAACTTCATTATGCAGCACATTATTTTGAAAATTTACGGCCAAAAACAAATCTTTCAAAATTGCAAACTGAAGTTTTGGGCAATAACGTCTAATAGGCACCAATAAGTTAATTTTACAGAAAGGGTTGAGATGTCACAGTTCAGTTCATGACACAAACGAATGGACATTAATGGAAGTACAGAAATTTTTGTTCATAGATTGATTATTATAAGTACATGTATATCAATTAATTTCCATGATAATGAAAAACAAGATAAACGCGTACAGGAAGTTATTTTGTCTGGTGTGTCAGCAATTGAATTGTCATAACAAAATTCTAGAAACACAAACATTACTCGGGACTCAAGCCGGATTTCCTGGCTTACTTCATGAAATGGCCGCCTGTGACCGGGAACCCTTCAAACAGTGCAAATGCCTGTTTTCTGCACTTTCACAGTCTCATTGCATTAGGATGTCATCATTGTCATGGGCCTCTGTGTGGGCCATTGTTTCCTAACGTAAACAGAGAAATGGGAACTTGTTTCTCAAGTTGGACGATAGACCTGTGTGGCGTCGCAAATTATGTATCACTACTAGGCTGGGTGTCTTAGAAGAGAGCCGTATATGAGAAAGAGTTGCAACATGAGGGTCGCACTGTTTGCAACCAAAATGGCGGATTATGCATCAGTGCACATACATAATTCGTACACAATAGTCGCAAGCTGCACTGTACACGAAATGAACGGCCATTATGGGTGCACACCTGTAAATAGGCCTAAACCCATCCGCCGAGCTCATGAATAAAAGTTATACATGTACCCTCAAAATATTCTATATTAGAGAGTTCTGAGAGCCATAACATTGGGGAATTGAAGAGATATGGTAATGAACCTCTGGCCCGGACTCGGGGCTTCCAATTCTGAACATTTTGGATACGATTGGGCTCGAAAGTGGCGCTATTTTGCCAAGTTGTGGAGGGATCGTTTTTCAAGATGTCTACCGTTCCGCTTTGGGGAAAATAGGGGTCGTCTTCTTTGGGCGAGAATTTCTCGAAAAGTCAATGTTCAACCCACCAAAAAATGAAAAGAAATTGAAAGATGACATGTCGATCATCATTTTTCTGTGCAGCTTAAATACCTGAGAGAGTTCTGAGTATTTTTAAAAGAATTTTGAAGTATGGGCATTTACCACTAGTGACTATGGGAATTTGTTTGCACTGTTGCACCCTTATGGTTCAACAGTCGGAAGTTGTCGAACTCTCTCTGTATACGGCTCTGTCTCATGATCAGTGCGTCCTCATTTGACGTATTTTTGAGTCAGGTTTCGAAATGCATATTCGTATCGTACGAATTCGTACGATCGACGATTAAAGGGTATTTTGCCACATTTTTCATCAAGAACGTTATGTTTTGCAAAATAGCGATACGTTTTGGAGTATTTTCGTAGAGATAATGTTGAAATATTGAATTATTCGAAGTCTGAAAGAAACGTATTTGCCAAAAAAAGCAAAAAGAAAACAAATAAATCATTTTTTGCAAGTACCAACCGTGCCTTCAGCGGACGGTCAAATCGGAGCATAATATATACCATTATAAGGACATGCATACAATATACCAAGCATCTTCGTTCACCGTTGCATTTTGTGCTTGCGCACACTCTTTAGGCCTTTTACACACAAAAACGTGACACACAAACATCAGACACCCGACAGTCAGACAGACAGACAGACAGACATCAGAAAGACAGCGTATCTTTTAATATACGATGCCAAAAAGCAAAAATTAGAAATATCTCAATTTTTTTTTAGATGATCTCATGATGTCTACTCAAGATTTTTTCTTAATTTAGTGAAAAGGGGAAACAGTGGTTCTTATTTCCGGAAGGGTGTCGATTTGATTACGTCCAATTATGGAATCGTCATGGCATCACTGCTCCCTGTGAAATTCTGTCTTTTCAAGATTTTGTTTTAATTTAGTGAGAAAAGGGGAAACAGTGGTTCATATTTCCATGTTGTCATGTTTTTGTGAATCAATGTTTAAAATAGACCCATCATTTAATTACGTCAGTGCATAATATTTCCCTGTGCGAAAAGGGAGAGTTTCAAGCACTTGGGTTGATGAATTTACACCCCAAACTACCCGAAGAACAGAGTGCCTGCCCCCAATAAACACTGTGCCAAAAGTAACATGTTCGTTTTCTTTTTACTTGACTAAGAATTGGTCATTTCGAAACCCCGCGCTCATAGTCAGAGTCACGCCTCTTTCACTTTCAAAAATGTTTCCAACCATGATAAGATGTCGAGAAAGAGTGGCAGCCATTCCCACGCTTGACCTACATCTCCATATTTGTTCATCGTGACTGCAAGCTCGTCAGGAAACTATAGTAAAATTCTGGTCACATGCGGCTGCGAAATGATTTGCTTGATTACTTTCCCGCCTTTTCCGGCATTACATCAGTGGTTGTCTGCCTCACGTCCAAAAGTCTCTTTTTGGAAAATAAGGAACCAATTTAAAGTTGTTCAGTTGTTGAAAAATGATAAAGAGGTTTTAGTGGTAAGGAGATGGCGAAAAGATGGTGTGTCTTAATAGTTAAATATTACAACACTATCTCTATGAAAACACAACAAAACGTATTGCTATTACGCAAAATTAAAAAAATGTATGATAAAAAATGTGGCAAAATTGCTTCACCAAGGTTTACCACGCCCACTTGGGGTCAACATGCAAATTGAGGTCAAAGTACTAGGCCTACATATAACCATTTAACCGTCGATTGTACGAATTCGTAGGATATTCATATGCATTTTGAAACCGGACTGTGTGAACCCCTTCTCAAAAATACGTCAATTGAAGGGTTAACGACTCCACCCAGCGTGGAGATAGTGGGATCCGCGCAAACCAATAAATTTTTCGAAGTGAAACTCGAAAATAGTACGGGAAATGCATCTTCAAACACTCATCATTTTTAACGACTATTTATGGGCTACCAGACTTTTGTCTCAGCTCCGACCGGGTCTGATGGAAGGAACAATCCCTGAACTTCTCGTGTCCCTTGCTTCACCCCGACCGCTTGTCTCAAGAAACGGAAACCTAAAACTTGAATTTCAATTGTTCCTAAACAAAAGTGGTTGCCCCAAAAGCGGACTCTGTGACCGACCTCCAGACTACAAAGCCCCGGTTCTGACCCTGATATGCTTGCCAAATCGAGGCACTGTCCACATTTCCGGTTCGCGAACCGTCCCTGGCGGGAGGTGGAGATAACATACAACCAGCAGGAAACAGTGACCCTAAGTTGTGAACCCTATAGTATTGTCTCAAAACGACTTCTGGTTTTTGGTGGGGAAATCGGTCTTGACATCAGCGTAAACGAGTGGTTTCCCTTGAACTTCAGAAACAAGCTCGAATTGATCTCGGAAGCTGCATCTTTAAAAAAAAAATGTAGCACCAAAAATAATTATGACTGGAAGCCAATTTTATCAGCTACTGTTAGGTGGAAATACTATTGAAATTGCTCAATCCGTTCAAAGAATATCACCATTTAAACGCAATAACCCTAAAACCTGTTTCGTCCAAAAAAGCAATTTATTGTGTATTCTTACTGTTTGGAACAACAAAGAAAATGACACAGAATACTTGTTTCAACAACTGTCAACAACTGTAGTACACAATATCTTTATTAACAGCCCTGGATAGGCAAACAATATGATTTTAAAAAGACGGGCCTTCAAAAGCACTTTGTCGAATATGTTTAACTTTTAAACTGAGGTTTTATCGCTGGTGATGTTTGAAGACAATATTGTGACGACGATTCTTGAAATCGCAATTTTGGACGAAAGGGGTTTTATGGTCATCGTGTTTAAATGGTGATATTCTTTGTACGGATTTAGCAATTTCAGTATTTTTTTCATCTAAAAGTAGCTTATGAAACTGGCTATCCCGTCATTATTATTTTTGGAATATAATTATTGGGGTTTGGGTTCCGCTTTTTGACTCCTGTATTATGAACTTTTGTAGCGTGACTGTTATTGACATATAGCTGGTGTTATTTTTACACCAGTGTTATCTGTAACACCGTGGATGTTGGTACATTCGTAGCGCTATCTGAATGGTTTTATTGACACACCACTGGTGTTATTAATAAAAACCAACTGGTGCTATTTCAACACACCGGTGTTTGTATAGTGAACGTTCCATAAAATCGCGATTTGTTTTTTCTTCCACAGGGTTTTCTGCAGAAGTACGGGTACATGGGCCAGCCGGACCCCAACGCCAACGAGCTTATCTCCGAGATCGACGTCCGACAGGCCGTCATGTTGATGCAGCGGTTCTCCCACTTACCCATGACCGGGGAAATTGACGAGGAGACAGCCAGGATGATGAACAAGCCCCGCTGCGGCCTGCCGGACCTTCCGAGTAGAAATCGGGACAGCCGCTGGTACGGGACCAGGGGCTACCGCGGAGGACGGGCCAGGCGGTACCTAGCCGAGGGAGTCCGCTGGTACAAACAGGAGCTTACCTACTAGTAAGTGAGAGTAAAGATAATCTCCTAACTCAGAAAACGCAAGGTATACCGGTACCTCTCGGGTTTCCGTGTGTATAATCTAATGCTTCAATTTAGTTCTGTGTTCATTTTTGTTTCGTGTAAAGAAAGTGTCCCCGATGGAACACTTTTTTTTTAAATTGAAGGATATTCTTTAATTACCAGTGGCGGATCTAATGGGAGTTTACAACGCTGTTCAGCCACTGACTAATGTTATGATACTAGTAAAATGGGCCAGAAATAATAAATGGAACGCTAAAGTTCCGCACGAAAGAGAAGAGAAGGGGGGGGGTAATCTGGGGAAGATTATTGTGCAAGGAAAGGTTGAAGGCAGCCGTTCACGTGGCAGACAGAAACTCCGCTGGGCCGATGGAGTGAAGGAGCTGACAGGCATGTCTCTGACCTCAGCCTACCGGTCAGTTTTGGACAGGCAGAGGTGGAACTCCGTCATCAAAAGGGTCACAATGAGTCAGCCATGACTCTCTGTGAGGACTACGGCGACAAAAGTTGATGTATTCTGAAATAAGAATGCAGGAGAAACTATCGTAGATTTCAAAATTTTCCGGGGGCATGCCCCTGACCCCCCTAGCATGGCGTGCCTACAGCACGCCTTCACTCACCACCATACCCCAACCTCTCTTCATATCACACAAACCCCTATCCTGAAGCTAGACCCGCCCCTGAATACTGCGAGAATTGTCCATCCACTGGGACCTTGAGGGTGCAGACCAGTAAATCGGTCCGAAATTGCCTGCGCCGGCCAAATCACGATTTGCATGCCCTCAAAATCTTCGGTATTTGAGCATGCTGTGGGTCATGAACTTGAGGGTTTGTAAAAAATATGGGTGGAAACCGTGCACAGGACTTGGAGCTTGCAGTTCTGTGTAATTTTGATGTAATTTGAACCCTAAAAGCGCTCTACTTTGCAATGGAGTCTAGGCATCGTTTTTCAAAATGGCGATGGGCTTCAGGACTATTTTCAGGGGTGTTCATCTTCAGATGGAAATTTCTCCTAAAAGTCATCAGTTGACCCCCCGAAAATTGAAAAGAAAATGAAAGATGATGAAATAAGCTTTAATTTGATGTGTGTCTCGAACACCTTGGAGAGTTGTGAGTATTTTTCCCGAATTTTTGAAGTAGGAGAATTTACCATTGGGGTCTATGGAAGTTTATTTACTGGTCTGCTACCTTGACGTCACGTACATTGACTGCCTGAATGAGAATCGTGTCCCGAGTGCTACTTTAGGGATACACGAGAGGGCGCGATTCAAAAACATGAAACGTGTTATCTCTAAAATTGTACTGTATATCCACTGAGCTGAACCTTCAGTCTGAACGAGGGAGTGTGGCATAGTGGTTAGGGTTTGTGACTCATGATCAGAGGGTCGTGGTTCGAATTCAGCCACTGGCCATATGTTGTGTCGTTTGGCAAGCCACTTCACCGCCACTTGCCTCTCTCCACCCAGGAGTATGAATGGGTACCGGCATTAGCTGGAGAGTAACCTGCGATGGACTAGCATCCCATCCAGGGGGAGTAGAAATATTCTCAGTGGTTTCGTGCTACTGAAACCGGAGATACATGCCAGCCTGATGGGCCACATTGGCTCGTGACAGACTTTACTTTACTTTACTTACTGAACCTTCATCAAGAGAGTCGTTACCGGTACTTTAATATGCACCCTATACTTTGAGCACTTTTGTTACCGTACTTCATTTCAAGCGAAAAGCAATGCACAAAACATAAAGAACCTTCATTCAACACAAACGTTTTCCATAGTATTTAATTCAATCGCTCAAAATCAACTTTCGTTAATTACTCCACAGCTTTGATAACTTCACGCCGGACCTGTCACGTACTCAGGTCCGCGACGCCATCGAGAGAGCCTTCAAGACCTGGAGTGACGTCACACCGCTGCGATTCCGCGAGATTCAGAGCGGGAACCCGGACATCCACATCAAGTTCGCCCGGCGTAGCCATGGCGACAGTTACGCCTTCGACGGGCGGGGTGGCACGCTCGCGCATGCGTTCTTCCCCGGGGCTGATATCGGCGGTGATGCGCATTTCGACGACGACGAAACGTTTACATATGCTTCATACGAAGGTACTTCAATAAACTCTTCAACTCATGATAATACGTTCAATTTAACGTAGCACGTCTTGGTACCAAACTCTGACTAGCTTTACTAAGGTCACTTTTTTTGGGGGGGGGGTCTTAACCCACTGGCAGTGTTACAGCATGTAAATGTCAATCCTTTCCAAATGACTTTGGTCATTACTTTAGACTCTACAGTGTAGCTATTAGGTCCCCTACTAAAATATATCTACAGCACATTTAGGACTACACACAGGTTGTTACCCTTAGGCGTACAATACCCCCCAAAATGTGTAAACTCATATTCTAGTCTGATCTCTTCGTAAGAACAAATGCACAACTGTAGCACTTAGTGCTAAAACCTCTCTGCGTTTCACCAACATAAAACATTCACAGATCAATAGAATTGGAATCACATAATGTTTTTAAAAGTTTGGCCGACACCATGTGGTGCTTATATAGCGCCTTATTCCAAAGGTGTCAAAGCGCTTTACATTGCCCCTAGGGCATGAGACCAATTCTGCAGCAGCTCAATATCAGCGCCGTACCTTCGCAGGTACCCATTTACTCCTGGGTGGAGAAAACAATGCGTGACAAAGTGCCTTGCTCAAGGGCACACGCACCATGACCCAAAGGCTGGACTCGAACCCACAACCTGCAGCTTTACCTGCAGACCATGAATCCATTGCCCTCAACCACGAAGCCACAGCACTCCACACGATTCGAGTTTACTGTGAAAGTAGCACCCCCAGTCATGCCACTGTCCCTCCCCTGGTACGGTTTTTATTTTTACCTGACTTGCGATTCGGCTTGAAAGTGAATTTGAGACTAAATCGTGTATTATAAACTCGATTACTACGGTCACCAGCTAACATGACACTGCATTGTACCTGATTCTCAGTCCCTTTTTGCTCGGTGCAGATAACTACAGCATGTCGAGTGACGTATACTGTAGATGAATTTTGCAAAGATAAAGCAACCAACTCTGCAACGCAGCTTCTTGAAGCTTGGGCCCAGATTAAGATCATAACACACCACTTACCTTTATTCACACAGGAACCAATCTCTTCACCGTTGCCGCCCACGAGTTAGGTCACTCCCTCGGCCTGGGTCACTCTGACGTGCCTGGGGCGTTGATGGCGCCCTACTACCAGGGTTACGATCCCGAATTCCGGCTGCTCTATGACGACATCGCTGGAATCCAAAGCTTGTATGGTGAGGACGTCTACAAATGAAATCACAGATTTATGTAACAATTATTTCGCAAACATATATTACTAGCAGTTCTTGTTAATTTTTTCAGGAGTGTATTAAAGGGAATATACATCATTGGCTTTTGCTGTAATTTTCAGAAATGGATGGAATTGGGGGGTTGGAAATATATAGCAAATATAGTTACACTGACGTTTTTGAGGTTTTGAGTTCGAAAATGCTATAAAAAACCAAGAAAAACAATCATTTTCCTGTAGTCTGGGCCCTGACTCCATTTAAGAAGACACAGAGCAGTTTACATATATTGGGGAATTGTAAGGTCAGGGAACCAGTCTAGCTGGCTTGTACCCGTTCATAGGTGTGTAATCGATTGCAAACAAGTGCGATGGTCAACTGGGGCCAGTATTTGAAAAAAAAGCCAGTTTTTTCCAACGCTGATCGGCCGATCAGCGTTGGAAATTGATATAAAAATACCACTTTTCTTGAAAATGACAGTATACCAGGTGCCATGATTTTACAGGATGCTTTACACTGTCATTCACTAACAGTCCAGCAAGGCATTTCAAAATGATTTGGTAGTTTTATTTTTTGACGTTTGCAAATGTTGTATTTTCCCTTTAAAGTGTTAGATAAACAAATTCCAAATCTCTAAAAAAAGAAATGGTCGGTCAGTCGTGACGAGTAAAAAAACGATTTTAAGACATTTTAACAGACTTGGGGCAGGCAATTTCCTTGATACGAAAGCCTAAAAAATGTTTTCGAAGGGAAAATGTATATATTTAAAAAAAAAAAAGTTGAACAAGGGTAATGACTTTAACTTCTCCATCTAAAATCGATCCCATCCAAAATTCAATTATCGGCGACACGTTTTGCAACGCACTCTTGAAGTACATGTATATGCTCTCAATCTTTGGAAACATTCAGATAAAGCTATATCCAAAAATCTTTTATCGGTGACACGTTTTGCAACGCGCGCCCGAAGTACATGCATGTTTAATGCTCTCAAGCTTTGAAACATTCAGATACAGCTATTTCGTCTTACAAATTAAAACAGTGCATTCTATTGACACAAGAAGGTTAATAACAATCAACAAGTCATCTTACCGAATAGTGTTACTATGTGGTTTATTGTAAGATTCTTATTTCTTGGTTTTCATTTCCCCTTTTTATCGTCAGGTTCCAATCCCAGACCGCCGCCCCGCCCTCAGCCCCGTCCTACCTCCCCACCAGAGCCCACTAACCCGCCTGTGACCGCCGAACCCACCCTGTCGCCTACCTGTGTCGGTAAATTCTCAGCAGTGTCCGATATCCGTGGAGAAGTTTTCATCTTTAAGGTAATTATTTTAGGTGAAACAATTATCTCACTTTAGGGACCGACGCGTCGGACACTGTTTTATATTTTAATGACGGACCCTAATTTTGCCTTTTATCAATACAAAGAACCCGGAATTCAGAATGGTGCGTGGGTGCGTCTTCATAGTAAATGCAAGGTGTATATTTTGTCGAAATATCCTAACGAAAATCTAGAAGTGAAAGTGCACTATCAAATGTGTCACATGGAATCTTTCTTAAGTAAGGAAAGCAGACGATCTCCAAGCATAAAGACTGACAATTTCAGACAGTAAAACATTTGACGACTACGGGCCCCAATTTAGACCTTTTCGATTTCCGCCGAAGCTCTACACGGTGATGCAAAAAAAAAAGGAAAACCTACTTTTGGCAGCACTTTTCGCTTACTTGTTGAGCATATTTTAAAAACTCAATTTAATGGTATTAAAATATTGATCTTTAAACATACGTGACGAAAAAAATGATTGCAAATGCATATTTTGTCTCCGGGATATGGTAGTTTAATAATGTCATGTGCCAAACCTGTTTGTCCACGGATGGCTTTATTTCACCCGCTTGACTGAGCTCCGGAGCTTGTTTCGAAGACAAAAAAACCCACTACACTAGACTCACACGTAGACAACAGTGATTATGGTGACTTGTATTCAAATTAGCATAATAACATTATTGTTGCGATTTTGTCACCACGTTTGGTTGAAGAACTATACTTCACTACATTATAAAAAAACCAGTTCAAATAAGTTAAGTAAGTAGGTTAAAATTCCCGTCAAAAGTGGGTTTCCTTCTTTTTGCACCACTCTATAGTCCGGAGTTTCGAAACATAGAAGCTGTTAAAGTAACAAACAGGGCATACTACCGGGAAAAATTACCATGTCAAATTTGTTCCGACCAAGTCAAAACGATACACACAATAAACTTGTTGGTTCTCTTTTAGTAAAAAAAAAAACAATTTGTGCCGAGCAGAATTTTATAGGGCATATGTCGACGATAGTCACTCGGTAGTCAAATTGGCTCAACTTTTTGATAGACTCAAAAGAGTGATACAACCAACTTCTGCTCATTCATTCTTCTGTAGAAAGACCAAATGTGGCGGCTGTCAAATTCTGGTACCCCGCTCACTGGTTACCCGATGCCAACGAGTAGGTTTTGGCAAATGGCGCCCTCTGGTGCCGACGCTGTCTTCGAGAAACTCGACGGGTCGATAGTTTTCATAAAAGGTAACTGACATAAATTCATTTGTTTTTGTTGTTTTGTGTGATCAAAGTATTTTTCCCCATTCTGATTCGATTTTTTTGGCCATAATGTTAGTAACACCTGTGATATGCATGTTTACATCAAAATGCTTAGTCAAGGATCATGAAAATATATTTCATCCGTTATATTTCGCCTTTCTTAGTGTGGTGTGTATGAGGAAACACTAAGTGCACGAAATATAAGCAGTATAGTCTGGTAATTGTGCGTTATCAATGTTTTTGGATAGGAACAAGGCACTGGGAGTTTAACGGGCTGAGCCTGAAGCGTGGCTTCCCCCAGGATCTTCCGAGACTCACGGGAGGCGAACCGTCTGAAGTCGACGCCGTCCTCTCGCTCAGGCGAGAGGCCAAGACGTACTTCTTCAAGGGCGACCTCTGTTGGCGCTTTGACGGCATGGATGAGCAGATGGAAGGCGACTATCCTAAGTTGATCACGGAGGAGTGGGTTGGAGGACCCGACCGCGTAGATGCGGCTTTCCACTTCGACAGTGAGTAGAAATTTAAGCACTCTAAACAAAGATCGTTTTTCGAAGGGGCGACCTCTTCTGCTTTGAATCATACGGTCGAATCCGGGCTCTTGGGGGCGCAACCAAGCAAATAAATTCCAAAAGACAACAGTGTTAAATCCCCATACTTCAAAATTCTTTTCAAAATACTCAGAACTCTCACACGTGTTCAGGCTGCACAGAAAAATTATGATCAACATGTCATCTTTCAGCTTCTTTTCAATTTTTGGTGGGTTGACCGATGACTTTTTAGAGAAATTCTCACCCAAAGAAGACCACCCCTCAAACGAACGATGTTTCCCGAAATGAAAAAGTAGCCATTTTGAAAAAAGGATCCCTCCACAATATGGCTAAAAAGCGCCACTTTCGGATCCAGTTGGATCAAAAGTGCTCAGAATTGGAAGCCCATGCAAGTCCACGCCAGAGGCACAGTGTCACGTGTCCTCAATCTCCCAATTCCATGGCTCTCAGAATATAGTTTAATTCTCTATCCGCATGAAAGGGACTTAAATTGGCCATGCTGAGTTTTCATTAGAACGAATTCATTTAATGAAAAAAAAATCAGACAGTTCGTGCCTCAGTTTGTGTTTGTCATGATAGAAAGAAGCACGATAAGCGGGCGTTATTACTTCCAATCATTTGAACTCACCTGATTAAAATGTCTGCTGAGGGTGTTTTGAATGCGGTAGCTTCTCAACTTCGTTTCACTTGCACAATCGGCAAACACACAGTAATACAGGATTCAGGCAAGTCAGACACAGTCTAGTGTAGCTGAGTCCATCACGAATCCATCAAATATCCATGACAGTTCTCGTCTCAAGTCAAGTCACTAGTATTTCGCGTGAACTGTAACAAAGGCATTCCTTTGTCATTGTCCATCTCGTTGCTTGTAACTACTGGACTTATGAAAAGACTTGTGCAATGACTTGTGATGGACTGGACTCAACACTGCCAAGAATGCAACGCCTCTATCTGATTCTGCAGCAGGCCTTTTCCACTTTGGGAAAAAATTGTGTCTTTGCCCGAGAGAATAGCACCAACAAGTGACTTTTGTTCCAATTCCATACTATGTCTTGACTACTGGGACCTTGTGTGCTGAAAAACATGCAAAACGAAATCAGGCCAATTTTACTCACTCTTTCGCCAGCAAAATTCTCCATTGGGTAAAGAAAAGGTCCTCAGTATTTCACCAACCAAATTTAAAGACTCAATTTAATTTTTAAAGGAGATTTTTCTTCAATATTTTGCACATGTGAGGAAAGTCAATTGATTTCAAATTGAGGCTAAAGACTAGACTGGCACCGTGTCCAACCATGGTCCAACTGTTGGAAAAGACTGACCTCTTCATTCATTCGGGTGGCCGCTGACTATGAAGAAATGTGTAGAAATAGAGACTAGTACCAAACATGCCAGATGTTTCTTTTGACACAGTTGATTGATGCAGTACTGTTAAGCGGTGTTGGACTGGTTGTTTCAGGTGCCAGTCTATTTTCTTGTATTGCATGCTTTCAATACCTTAAGTTTTGGGACTCCCATACACAGTATTGAGAGTCCCAAATTTTCGGACTAGTTTAATTTAAAGACAACAAATATTTAAGCCATCTGTTACGTCATACCTTTCAACTGCTGTCTTTCCATTTGCAGACAACGTATACCTCATCAAGGGGAACCAGTACTGGCAATTCAGCGACGGCAGCATGACGGCTGAAGCGGGGACTAGGTGGCTAACGGTAGACTTTCTGGGATGTTCAGAAGATACTGTGGTCACGGACGATGTGGGCATCCCCGATGACGCCATCAGGACAGCTTCCGGTCTCTGGATTTGTGTCGCGTCGGCGTTGGTGGCGCTTCTGTTTTTCAGATGATTCGCAGAAGTCCTGTGTTTGGATAAGATCAGACAGGACTGATACAAGTTAGACTTGATGTAAATGTTTGTTGTTTATTGGTCATTCTATAAATCTAGTGTAAAATGTGACATTTTTCCGAGTCCCTGCACCTTGGTACTTCGTCTCGGGTGCTATGCTGATTATGCTCCCCTCGGGTGTTCAAAACGTCGTATCCCACATCACAGCAGTCAACAATTGTTTTGTTATACCTCTGTCTTGGATTCGTTGGATTGTGATGTACAAATCACGAAAACAAACAGCAGTAAACACAACAATCATGACAATCGAACGTCAACTTACATGCATGTCGCGTGCTCGAAACAGCTGATCGTCTGCTAGTTCGCTGCTCCCACTCATGTGTGAAAACATGGTGAAAATAGCATGGGTACCAACGATACAAGCGTTTCACACCGTACGTACATGTACCGTACGTACAAAGTCATAGCACTATTCCTGTGGGATATCACGTACGCGATATCGACAGGGAGTGTGCCATGACTTTTTTTTTTAACTTAACACGTGATCGTCCTAGGCCAATGAAAATAGAGTATTCAAGACAGAGGTATAACAATGCTATTTGTACTCGCTCTTGGAGGACGACTGCATTAAGTGCTTCAGAATGCTAAAATCATATATGCCAGATGTAACATAACAGGGACAGAAAAAAAACTGGACCCCAAATTCATAGCGTGACCCACATCTTCAATATCCCGTGCGCTCGATATGCGCTCCCGGCTTCGGAGATTTGAGGCTCTGTTCTCGAGGATTTATTGTGATTCTGAAATCGGATTGGGAAACTTAGTTTGGGGTTTGGCAACTATGATTATTTACGAGGTTGCCGATTTTGTTTATTTGTTGAACTGTTTCCCTTTAATATAATGCACTTTTATTTAAAAACATAAGTTTGTTATGAGATTGGTTGTACGTAAAATGACGTCAGTGACATTCATTTAAAAACAAAATTGTTAAATTGGTTTTTATATTATGTTGTACGAGGTGAAATTGACCTAAAATGTTGGGTGATGGGTGCTTGAGTTACCAGCTTTTATCAACTACAATTTTTGAACCCTGTGTTCAATCCTAGATTTGCAGCAATATCATGACAATAATTGTGCTTAGTCTATTTCTTAATTTTTAGATCGGTCAAAAAAGTATTTTGTACCATGTGATGTTATCAGCTTTAAAATTACGGTACTATCGCGAAATTAAAAGTCTTCGCAGGCGAAGATGATTGTATATTATTATTCATAATAATCGCGAGGGTAATATTAGAATATTTCCCGTCGATTTATTGCAGAATGTCTCGCGATGATATTAGAGCTGCTTTAACAACTAATTAAAGTTATCACATGTGTCTTAATGAAAGTATTTGTTTAAGTGACAAATATGGAATATATCTTTTTGAAAGCTATTTTGTATACAATAAAATATTGACTGTAAATATAGTCACACAAGAATTGTTATTACAAACGTAGTAAATGACCGTTGCTTCATTTCTCTGCCACCTATGGAAATTTGATCCTTCGATGCTAATAATGTTTAATATCAATGACTTTCGAATTTCTGATAATCATCCCCAGCCAAGGGTTTTAATCTCATAATAATTTTTGAAAAGTCATGTAGGCATACAAGTAACCACGACATAACGAATTTCGTATGGCATGTTTGGGAGTTAAATAGACAAATACGGGCACGCCGTCATTTTTATCACGACGCCCCTCTTCGATGGCGCTAGCATTGTGCTAGCTATTGTACAGATATTACGCTCAGAGGGCAGTAACTTTGTACAATAATTAGTGCAAAGATTTCGCCATTGGAGGGGGCCGTGAGTGTAGAGTGATGACGTGTCCCTGCGGTTTGTCTTTCCTATACATTTTTTCTCAAAGATACGTCCGTCAATTTTTGAAATAACCACAAAACCACGAAGTCAATTTTCATTTGTTTTTCTTGATTGTGCAGATACTCCTTATCCTTGGCCTTAATCCGTATGCATTTAATTTCAGTCACGCATCACTACACCATTGTCAATTGATCATAACAACAGTTTTGGACCCTTGCCTTAATCAATTTCAATGCTGTTTTATGTTAGCTGTGTAAAAATCCCTCTTGTTGTGAAAGGGCTGCCGTTGGGATTGGAATAATTTGCCTAGCTATCATCATGTTAAGTCCTCAGTTTAATGCCCAAGGGCAAATGATTCCAATCCCAAATCTCATCAGCCATTTTTGACAACATGCAGGATTTTACACCGTGAGCTTACATGTACATGTACAAAACACAGCACTGAAATTGATCTAGGCAAGGAACTGAGTCACAGTGTCCAAAAATGTTGTTGTGATCAATTGACAATTGCGCAGTGATGCGAGACTAAAATTAAATGCAACTCATAGGGGTTGAGGCCAAGGATATATAGGCAGAATCTGCACAATCAAACAATTTCAAAATTGACTTCATGGTTTTGTAGTTCATGAAAATAGGTGATTAAAGACTTTTATTGAAAAAAACACACACAAAAATTCCCATAGATACACCGAACGCTTGCTCCATCCGCCAACTACTAACGGAAGTCTCAATTATGCCACTTGACAATTAACTCCGAAGCGGGAAATGGATTAACATCATTATTCCTCATTTCAACTAAGTAAAACACAGGGGTTTTAGGTATGGTCCACGCTAGGTTTCTAATCCTTTGTAATCACTTTGTCCCCAAGACAAAGTGCAATCAACTCATAATAACATTCTCATTATTATATGATTCAACAAACAGGTTAATTTTGGTAAGCAACTCCGTGATATTTCAGTCTATAATGGAATTAGACGCGTGCACGGCAAGCGTCTACGGTTTGCGTGCAGATTATGTAAAACAACACTGCGTCTTCTTACCGGCCAGACTCTGACCGTTCAGCGAGCGCATTTTATAGTGTCTTCAGTATCCCGATGTTGAATGAGATAAAACCATGGCAGGTATTGACCAATCAACAGCTTTGGTCGAATTCAGCGGGCACGTTTTACTGTGCCTGTATATTGCATCCCTGCTGATACCGAGGAGACTTTGCAGTACCGCACCAGAACCAGAACGTCTGCCCTAAAATGACGTCGCAATTTCTAAAGGCGGCTCCGATTGGCTGACGCGTGGCGGCCTGTCGCATGAGGGTGCAGACCAGTAAATCGGTCCGAAATTGCCTGCGCCGGCCAAATCACGATTTGCATGCCCTCAAAATCTTCGGTATTTGAGCATGCTGTGGGTCATGAACTTGAGGGTTTGTAAAAAATATGGGTGGAAACCGTGCACAGGACTGGTAGCTTGCAGTTCTGTGTAATTTTGCTGTAATTTGAACCCTAAAAGCGCTCTACTTTGCAATGGAGTGTAGGCATCGTTTTTCAAAATGGCGATGGGCTTCAGGACTATTTTCAGGGGTGATCATCTTCAGATGGAAATTTCTCCTAAAAGTCATCAGTTGACTCCCCAAAAATTGAAAAGAAAATGAAAGATGATGAAATAAGCTTTAATTTGATGTGTGTTTCGAACACCTTGGAGAGTTGTGAGTATTTTTCCCGAATTTTTGAAGTGGGAGCATTTACCATTGGGGTCTATGGAAGTTTATTTACTGGTCTGCTACCATGAGTACGCATGCTCGTGAGCGCTCTGCACACGTAAACATCCAATCCTCAGACTACATGAAATTGGGCGCAGGGGTCGAACTCGTGGCGCTGCTTAATTAACTCAGAAAAGTGCTAAGCGCGACAAAATATCTTTGCCTAGCGAGAAATCGGTTCCCAACCATAATGTCATCTTTTGACTCACAGCCGATTTCCGCTTCGCGTACATTTTCAGAGCAATATTTTTCTGTGCTTATTAAGCACTGTGTCCTCGTGCAAGACTCATGTTTAAGGTCGATAGTTTTATTTTATCCCTGTATTTCCAGGGGCCCTAGCACCGAAATCCCAATTGACCGTGATGCAGTATTAATCACAGAACCGCCGGGAGTGCTGGTAACATAGAAACATGGGTGAAGTACACAATCAATGATTCATGGCACAATTTATGAAGAGTGAGCACGCAAAGAAACATGGCTGCGGTTGATATGCTTGAAGCTTGGGCAGTGTCCGATTTACTTTGCTACGGCTTGAAATTACACACGAGTCTACGGTAGTGGCTGCAGCCACTTCCCAGAGCCGTGTAGGTGTTTTCGTTCCACAAAAGCCCGGAACCAATTCTGTATCACGGACACACAATCCACGGTAACCATGCTATAAATGGCTGTACAAATCCCTTAATCCAATTTCCGCCAAACCGGCTTAGCAAACGTTAGTAACCGTAATCCTGAGCTAATTGACAACGTGTCAACGCCTTCGCCAATCAACTACACGCGTACAAAAAATCAGGCAATGTCTATTGCATGCTCTGGGTATGTACCACATAACAATACAATAACTATAACTGTTCACACCTTCAATAAGAAACGGGCGCATTTAAGCTGCATGTCCAACTGGATTTGACTAAAGACAAACTGACCAATATTGTACAGTAATTTACATGCTCACAAATTTTAAAACAGTGAACGGTCAGTGTTATACAGAATCTGGTCGGTTTTAAAACCTTTCATAAATACCCACGACGGTTTACCCGCTCCTATTGGTCGAGAGCCCGTCACGTGGCCGGTTTTGAACGGTTGATAAAGACCGGCTGGCTGGTCTGAAACACGTTTCCAGTGTCACATGAATTTTTGACTCCTTTGAAATCCGGTGCCTTTTAGTTACCGTTTAGTGGTTGAATGTTCACAATGTACACGTATAGGCATGCGCGATACTACCAGTGAGTCAGTATTTCATATAATAGTCCCAAATTTACACTGCGCCGGCACAGCTGCGTTCTGCGCGACATCACACACATTTATTCCGTTAATCACACCCACAGATCTGAAACATCAGTTTACATGCAGTGTGCACTATTGGGAAATGGGCACGAGACTTTCGCAAAAAAATGACATCAGCAAAACAAAATGGCGCTAGCCTTCTTCAGCATGAGCTTAAAATGCAGAATTCGGAGCAGAAACTTGGGGTCTTCAGTACCTTTCTTGACTTTAAGAATAATTAACACTTCTAAAACTCAAACAAGGAGACATAAGCTAGCCTCGAAGGCCGAAGTTCGTAGGAAATGAATCACGACAGACCGGAACTTCAATGGAAGGCAGAAAGAAAACAATCAGAAACTATCTCAGTTTGGCAGGTGTACCAAATTACTAATTCTGACAGAGGCAACAGTGCCGCCAATCAACGGGCCTATTTACATCAACAAATTTACCGTACTCTAGAATATCAGAATTGTTCATTCGGAGAATGGATCACCAATTCAAATGGATAAAGTAAATTACAGATGTACTAAAAAGTTTATAAACAAGCTCGATCTGAATTATCTCAGAAGCTGCGGGCCAACGAATTCGTGTTCATGCATGAGTCACGTGATTGCGTCATGTAATTACTGGAAGGAGTAGTGTTTTGAGTAAAAAAAACAAAAAAAAATCAGGTTTTTGACCCCAGTGACCCCATGATGACCTCTGATCCCAGCTTGGTCATGTGATATGTTGGGGCTGGGCTACTGAAACCTTTGACCAAGTTTGGCTGAAATCGGTCAAAATATGTAGGAGTAATAGACAATGTCAACGTTTGTAACGGAGAGACATGATGATTTGTTGAGCTGCAATCCCGCAGCTAAAAAAGAATAGGGGTAAAGCATCTGATGTTTCGATCTCAGAAGTGTCTCCAGCTCTAGATTTGTAACGGTAACTGTCAGACACTTTAAACAAGTTGGTTAAAAAAACAGCAAAGTTAACTCAATATTATAATCAGTCATACACTTTATTGTTGGTATCAACAACAACCGGTTAATCACAACGACTGGACAGTGCGAAGAAAATCAAATCGTGTGCATCTGATAAGCGTGTTCCTGTATTGTATTACGCTAGAGGACAGAAAACAAAATGAGCACATAGGGGCCATTCATCCTCGAACGACGGTGCCTATAGTCCTCGAACGCAGGTTTGTCCACTAAGTCTACGGGAAAGGTTTAGGTCAGGGAACAAAGGAAAACACAAAGCCAATCCTCGGAAGCGTAGCAAAAAACGACTGTGTGGTCTTGCCGGTATGACGGAATGATCCACTGCATCCCCCTCCCCCACCCCCTCCCCTCAGGAACTTAGTTTCCGGAAGGACGGTGCGTCACAACAGGTACAGGACCCTGAGGGATAAGGTCGGGGCACGACGCAGCACTGGCCGGTCGAGGCCGGCCTAGGAACCACCGTCAAATGGACTGCCACTGTACGTAGGTACAAGTAAGTGACACCCTGGCCAATCGTGGTTTTTGATGCGTGGGCAGAAAGCCCCTTCCCCCTAAATTCTGATATTAAATAGAAAATCACCACATGATTAAAATACAAGTCGTGACCAAAATAAATTCCCTTGCTAGGATTCGTCATCTTCCTCCGCTCCTTTGAAACGCGGTCTCGGATTGGCTGGCCGGTAATCGCATCTTCCTGTGTGTTAGGATTATTCAGTATGACTGGGGTAGGTACGAGTCACAAGCTAACACCGTGCAGAGAGACGAGCCGCCCCCGTACCCCGTGCGCTGCATGCCCCCGCTAGCCTGAGCCAACACCCCGACCCACGGGTGATTTCCCCGATAATAAACTACTCATCTATAGAACTCCTTGGATAAAAGGACACACGGTTAAAGTAACGGCGGAGGCCTACTTTTTTTGGCTCTTTAAAATGGCGGAACTCGATTTTCGTCTGCTCTTGGTGCTCCTGCTGGGATGTACATTGTGCTTGTCCGTGACGGCGGACGTCGAGAGCGAGGAGACTGGACCGGCTAACCCGCAGGTAGCCGGCGGGGACGGAGGAAGTAAAGACGAAGGCGCCAATGACGATGACGTGACGGATCCCGGCGAGATCGAAGAGGCAAACGTAAGTCTTGAATGTTCAAACAAAATTACTGTTTGGGGGTGGGGGTGGGGAGGAGAGAGTCGCAGGATTCAGAACAAAGGTACGACCCTATAGAACAATAAAGTCATCAGCTTGTAAGTTATCCTCAGTTAGAAAATCGTTCGCAATTTAAGGGTGCAGTACTGCAAACCTGCAAATCGACTCCAATAGACCTCAGTGATACTGCGCGTAGTTCCGAAATGTATTTAAAAATACTCACAACTCTCCAAGGTGTTTGAGACACCCATTAAATTAAAGCTTACTTCGTATTCTTTAATTTTGTATTACTTTTGTTCGATTATCCGATGACTTTTAAGAGAAAAGTTCATCCAAAGATGACTACCCCGAAAAGTAGTCCTGTGGCCCATCGCCATTTTGAAAATGATGCCTGCGTTCTATTGCAAAATAGAGCAATTTTAGAGCCCAATTTCACGCGAATTTCACAAAAATACGAGCTCACACTCCTGTGCACGGCTTCCATTCATATATTTTTTTTGTTTACAAACCTTCGGGTTCATGGCTCACAAAAGTGAGCAAAGAATTTGAGGGCATACAAATTGTGATTAGGCCCGCGTAGGGAATTCTGGATCTATTTATACTGCGCGCCCTTAAAGGGTAGCTGCAAAATAATTCCATATGAGAAAAACAGTACGGCGTATAGAAAACTTGTGTTTGCTGACGAATTTTGAGTCAGTCTGAGATGGATAAGTATAGCTTACTAGCCTGACATTTCTTTGAAGGTGAGTACCCTCACCTCTGCTTAACTTTATCATTTTCAAACCGATTGGTTATAGAATTGAGCTACATGAAAAGTTAGGCAAGGTGCATCAAACGGTGTATACAAGAAACAGATTTTAAATTAACAGTATTACTTGACTTTAAGGCCGAATTCACTGCGTAAATTTAATATGTGCATTCCATTGAGGAACTATAGAGGGCAGTGTTTGGACTACTTACGAGTGCCAAGTAAGTTGTGTGTGATTGCAAGTTCCTTTATAATATTTGAACAAGGCATTAAAACGAATGATATCGGAGCTGTATTATATTAAAACAGATTTTTACAGTAAAATTAATGTAGAAAAGAAACATGGTTCCCAGGCCTCTTTTTACCATCTTGGGGGCGTACTTGGTACTACATGTATTCGGTTATTCGGTTTCGTGCGAGGTCGCTAAAAGTTGCGATAGACTCATGTCGATGTCGCAACTTCCCGGGTAGAAAAAATTACACACTAAGCTTGAATTAACACTGGCCATAACAGTTGAAATAAACCCGAATTGCATAACGGACATATTAAGAAAGAGGGACCAATTTTATAAATGTGTCATCATTCCTGAAACGGGGCGTTAACTTATTCAAATCCAGTTTCCGAATAGGCTTATGTGACATTTAAATCGTACATGGAACAAAAACAGAAATTTCAAATGGTTTCAGCGAGCCTGGGGTGGTACCACTAACTATATTGGGGTTGACTAAGTCTCAACAATGACGTCATTTCCCTTGAAAACTTTAAAAATAGCCTTGCCCTTTCACAGTTCAGGCACGTGCTCTTATTCTCGTTAAAGGTCATAGACGCACACACCACGTTGGCCTTTAGCTCAACTCTCCTTAGATGACCCGGAAGTACTTATTAGCCATTGCATAGCACGCGCTCCGGTCGCGGTGACCTACTACGTAATAGACGCGTCCGCTGACGTCATACACTTATGTATCATCCTACGGACAGTAGGACAGGCCTTTTTGTGGTTTGTTAATTGCAAGAGGCAATCTGCACATAAGAGAACACCACGGCTTACCATTTGCAAAAAGAGGGTGGGACAAAGGCATTGCAAAGTTGGTTTTGCTCATTTTTTATCATTCTTTTAGGGACCAGAAAAACAGCAATGGCGTAAACTATTTTCTCTGGATACGTTTGGGTTGACGATGAAGGAACAAATCCCGACATTTCCCCCAAAAGTGGGAAGATGATGGATGGTGCTCTTACGAGAGCTACATTATGGGTGCACGCCATAAATAGGTCAAAACCCATCCGCCAAGCTCATGAAGAAAAGTTATACCCTCAAAGTATTCTATATTAGAGAGTTCTGAGACCCATACAATTTAGGAATTGTAGAGATATATAATGGCATTGAACCTCTGGGCCGGACTTGGGGCTTCCAATTCTGAGCATTTTGGATGCTATTGGGCTCGAAAGTGGCGCTATTTTGCCATATTTTGGAGGGATCGTTTTTCGAGATGGCTGATTTTCCGCTTTGGGGAAAATAGGGGTCGTCTTCTTATGGTGAGAATTTCTCGAAAAGACAATGTCAACCCACCAAAAAAATTGAAAAGAAAATGAAAGATGACATGTCAATCATCATTTTTCTGTGCAGCTTGAATACCTGTGCGAGTTCTGAGTATTTTTAAACGAATTTTGAAGTATGGGCATTTAGCACTGGTGTCTATGGGAATTTTATTGCAGGGTTGCACCCTTATAGTGTACTCACAAAAAGGGAACAATGGTACCCCACAAGTCAGCCTTTGTAATACGGTACCCAATGCAGAAGGGAAATTCTAAAAAAGAGTACCCATAAACCCTATCTGCTAGGTTGTGTGTGTTTATGGTGAAAAATCGAGGACACACAATGTGAAGCGTCATCGAGTTATTGAGGGCAGGAGTCAAATCGAAGACGACCTCGATTGGAGACCATTTACAAAACCAATGGGAGCTGTTGCAAAAAGTTACAGTTTAAACAAAAGATCGATGTTTAGGAAAAAATAGAAAATCCTCGACACCATAAACAAACCTGTGTGTGTATGTGAGGGGGGGGGGTGGAATAACAGAACGTAATGAAAGGAAAATCAGAATATATAATTAAAGGAGACTCGTAAGTTAATTAGCAATTGGCACGGTGATAGTATAGAGCCGATCGTAAAAGATTTATTTTGTACGCGGGGAATTGTTTGGAATTGGCTGCTCAGACTGCACGCACAACATGCATGCATCATGAAAACATTTTGTCTCTTTTATCCTGTAATTTCAGTGGTAGTAAAGTCATTTGCTTAGTACAACATGAACGGTTACACAACATGAACGGTTACACAAATTGACGTCACACATACGCAGTCTCGCGCAAAAATTTCTGGAATTTGTATCCTTGTGGAGTCATTTCTTTGTTCTCGTGTACTAAAGTTTTCGAGTTTGAAAGTGTACTTTCAAAATGCTCCTATTTTAACCAGAATTAATTTCCGGGACTGAAATTCGGGCTTAATATCCCTTACAAAAAATACTTCAATTTGCGACACATCACCACCTTAGAAATTCCTAGTTTTGGGGTAAAATCCATATATCTATTTCGTGATAACCTTGTGGAGACGTATTCACCTATAGACTATTGTGCACATGTCTCCAGAGGGTACCGTGGACCAGATCATCTTTTTCTCAATGATTTCCATTAGTTTCATCACTTGGGGTGACGTATGTAAACGAGCTTATATTTCCTTAACATAAAGAGGAAATTACCTTACCCAACTAAATTTCAAAATGAAATAGCGAGATTCTCGCATTTCTGATATTGAGTTTAAAAAAAGCCATACAGTTAATGATATATTGCAAAAAAGGAGAATGTTTCTTGAATTATCTGTGGACTTCTCACTACAATCCCATTAACAGAAATACCTGAGCCAGTATGGATACTATGACGACGACGACAACAGGCCTACCCAGCGCTCGGGATCCAACGTGGAGCGGGCCATCGCGCTGCTGCAGTACAAGGCCCATATCCCCGTGACGGGGCGGCTGAACCGGGAGACGATCGCCATGATGCGCCAGCCTCGCTGCGGGAACAAGGACTTCAACGGCCCGTCGGACCGGCTCCGTAGGCGCAGGAGGCGGTACTCGTTGTCCGGCAACAGTTGGTCCAAGAAGGATCTCACTTACAAGTAAGTTGAAGATTTATTGTTTGCTTCCCCGGTCTTGTGTCGTTATTGTTGTACGGGGCGAGTAAAAAACAATGCAGGGCGCCACCAAGAGTTTGCCATGGAGAGTCCATTTTTCAAGTTTACGGTCGACAGAATATGATTCACTTGAATGAGTATATGAGTAGACAACTTGAGCTAATTTGATGTAAATTGGGGCATACATAATGTATATCGTTCTGCCGCATTACAACAAACACCACATTGATAAAAAGCACCGAAAAGGGCAAACTCCGTGGCACTGAAACTCTTGGTGGTGCACCTCATTGTGAATCGTCCGAACTAATAAGCTTTTTTTTTCAGTACAAGAATCATTCAAACCACCCATTTAGGCCTACTTTTCAAGTTAAGAAATTTTTAAACACAACCACCGTTTTAAAGTTCTGTCCAAGGATTACTAAAAAGTGGGTTTTTTTCAGCAAAACAATTCACAAAACAATTCATACACATCCTATGAAATTATGAAATTCGTTTTGCTGAAAGAACACTTTGTGATCCGTGGACAGAACTTTTTTATAAGAAAGTGGTTGTGTTAAAAATTCCATAACTTGAAAAGTACAGGAATGATTAGAATGATTCTTGTACTGAAAGAAAGCTTATTAATTGGGCTTTCATATCCTAAATTTTGATAGTGCTACATGCAGAACTTCATTCAAAAATTGGTCCTGTCATTTGGGTCTCGTTTTTTTTTTAATATAATATATATATATACTCACCCTGTATATCTGTGTTGTTGTGATTCCTTTTTAATTTGTTCTCCTCGTGCTTTCGAGTCTTACGACAAAAATAAGATTTCATTTGAATTGCTTGTTCCAAAGGAATACAAAGGTAATTCACTTTTGAAATAGACATCCTACGAAAAATGGATTAATACTTTTAAATTTTCGAATAATTTGTGGCCCACAATCATCCAGGCGTATTTGTGCATTGGAGGCACAAAAACAGCAATTTTGCTCAGAGGGGATGCAGACGCCAAACATCACCATTGCTTCCTTTCCGTACTCTCATTGTCATCTTGTTTTGGGGAATTGTTGTCTCGATCGCCCAGGTTCATCAACTACACTCCCGATCTGGGCCAGCGCACCACACGAGCCGAGATCGTCCGGGCGTTCAACCTGTGGAGCCGGGCGGCCAACATCAACTTCCGCGAGGTACGCCAGGGCCGGGCCGACATCGACCTGCGCTTCGCCTACGGCAGTCACGGGGACGGCTACGAGTTTGACGGCAGAGGGGGCGTCCTGGCCCATGCGTTCTTCCCCGGGCCGCAGGCCATCAGCGGTGACGCTCATTTCGACGAGATAGAACGCTTTACGTCTAATTCGAGAGATGGTAAGGGTCGTATGCAGAATTCGTGGCATAATCTTATAGGAGCATGCATTATTATGGATAATATACTGACAGGACAGCCTGGTTTGACCCGCAAGTCAGTCAGTCAGTCGGTCAGTCAGTCACTAATCAGTCGGTCGGATATCCACTTTATAGTCAGTAGACTTGATGGCAAGTCGTTAGATAGTCGTATTTTGTCCGTGAACTTCAGTCGAACTCCATCGGCTCGGCTGGTATAAGACTATATTACGTAATCGGCCGGGTAGCGACAAATCTAACGACTTGACGATATATTACGTTCTCGCACCGTTATTAATACATTCGTGCAGCGCAATACATATGCACTACATTTTTGCGGTGAGATCCAATCGCGCTCCACTATGCAAAGTTAATGAGGACTCATTCATTCCGTTACATGGGGAGTTCTTCTCAATACGTCGGGGACGCGTAATTTTTATTCCTAGGAGGGTTAGGGGCAATGTCATGAATAATTCATGTTTATCCATGAGAACGGACAATGACGTCAACAGCATTGTTGTTAGTTACTCAACTAGTTACAATACATTAAAGCATTTTGAAGAACGGTTGTCGTCGAGCTACCACACAGTAGCCTAGTGGATAGCGAGATGAGCTATGGATACAAAGATCCCTGGTTCGAATCGACGTACGTCGTCGCTGCTCATTTTCATCAGCTATTTTTCTTCTCCAAATTTATCACTGAGATAATTTTAAATTAAGGGGAAAATAGAACGAGAACCTAAGTCTTGCAATGATTCAAAGGAAAAACTGAATTATTCATGACATTGCCCCTAACCCTCCAAGGAAAAAAATTACGCGTCGGGGACATGTTTGCAGATCTGGCGACGTTTTAACATAAAAGGGCCGGGGGCGGAATCCGCCCCCCCCCCCTCAACTTTTCCGCGCTAGCTTTGAAAATAAAAAATTCGCGACCGGAGCTGTTATGACGTTTTAGCCTCGAGCCTTGCGCATCTTTTGATACCAAAAACATAAACATTTTCGTGAAAAACTGAATTTTCCCATATACGTCGTGTATAGAGCACAATTACCATTCATACATATGAATAATTGGTAAGCCATAATTCCAAAACCCTTTGACCTATAGTCACGAAATTTCTTGGGTATGTTTATGATGAGTTGCTCTATGCATGTACCGAGTTTCTCGTCACTCGATGGCCGAGATCTTGGGGGGGGGGGGGCGGAACCCTTTTAGGGTTAACGACCAATACACTCAGCTTGGTCAATTGTGTACAGATATAAAATGCATCATTGTCATACTTGATTTATTTGAGTCGTGTATGCTTTATAATGAATTTTGTAATGTTACACAACACTAAGTACAAACCCTCGAAGTAATGAGAATGATCTTCCGTGGCGGCCTAGAATACACTCTGTAATCTGAACCAATCAGAGTGCTCGTATAGAAATCGCTAGCGATTCAAAATACTCCCATATGTTGTGTACATAATTGAAAACGGTTCTCCAAGTCGGTAATTTTACCAGAAAATAGTCAGCATCATTTGGTCTAAGAACCAGACTACGCGCATTGCAGCCATATTTTGCGTGCGTGGAGCCAGTAACCGGTTACCGTAAGCAAAACAATTACCGACGCGACACCATGTTTTCTCCGTCAGAGGATATACACAGGCTAACCCTTTCGGTCTAGCATAAAATGGCCGGGAAAATTGCCCAGACAATACGCGGTGTCTCGATAGGGCACTATTCTCCAGCGCATGGAGCAAAATTTAAGTTGCCATGTGTATTGTGTCGTCTGTAAAACAAACGTTTTACTTCCAGGCCCACGTTCTTCGTTTTAAGTATTTAAAGTTTCAATCGTTTAGCTAGTCCGATATTCTGTTTTACACGAATTACCTGCGAGTAATATACTCCTATCGGCACCAGCAAGCCTTACATTTTTGGCGAGTTTTTGTTTTGTTCGACACAGTACTGGGACGATTCTTACCAAACCAGAGTAGGCCTAGATGTAGTATAATGGGTCCACAACATGCTTAGACTTTTTTCCCATATACTATAGGTACCAACCTGTTTATGGTGGCTGCCCACGAGTTGGGCCACAGCCTGGGACTGGGCCACTCGGACGTGGAAAACTCCATGATGGCGCCAATCTACCAGGGCTACAGGCACGGAATCCAACTCCATAGAGACGACATCATGGCCATACAGAGACTCTACGGTAAGACACGGGGCTAGCTGTCATAGCCGAAACCTTATAGGCTGGAACTGTGGGGTAGGCGGTAGTGCACTGCCATATTACGCAGTTTTCGAGCCAACTATAGGGTTCAATCAAGCCTACATACGTCAACGACTCATAGTCACACAACTACACTGGTTGCACTTCCCACCCTTTCTATCCTTTCGACGGCTGAAATGGAATGGACGGGACGGGAACCAGGTAAATTTCGCACTGTTACTCAGGCCTCATAGCGCCCTCTTTGCCGAAACGCTGCAGCCTTTGTGGCATGGCGAATGTGCGTCATGCCGTTTCGACAACTTAATCCCGTTGGACACAATCTACGGTGCAAGAAACTAGCATAGTTACATATATACTAGTATTGTCGCAAGTGTCTGGGACCCTTTTCCTAACTTATATGCTTCCCTCTATTGTCACTAAATCACCAATTCGTATAGTACTTCTTGACCGGAGCTTATTAATGCTATGATTCCCATAGCAGCAATGAGTGACCAGAAATTATAAGACCGTAGTGGTCAGATAAGTAGTGGCCATCGCTTTCAGTCTCTTTCTTTATACACATCAGACACGTGAGCTGAAGATTTTTATATGATCTTCTAGTTCCAGTCTACAGCTTTTAAGCAAAGCAAAACCATAATAATTAATATATTTGATGGTTGTGTAATCTTTAATTAGAATGTGCCTTATTTAGGAAGTGTTTTGGGTATACGACAATAGACAGAGAACGACGTTTGAATACTGTAAGGGTATATTAAATGTTGTTTCTTTGAATATCTATCAAAGGTCGAAGAAGAGGAGCCCCTCCAACGACTCCAACTAGGCCGCCCAGCGGGCCCGTTGTGCCTCAACCCCCGAACAGGCCAAGCGTACCGACCACCCCTACATGTAACATTCGGGTGAGCGCGCTGTTGAGCACATCGGCGAATGACTTGCTCGCCTTCAGTGTAAGTTTCATCGGTTATTTATTCTCGTCTCTTATCTGCTGCAAAAGCTGAATGTATTCACTGAAATAAGCACATGAGTTCACCATCTGTAAATTACGAGTCAAGCAAGAAATGAAACAAGTGAATTGTACGTAAATAAGAAGTCCATCATTAAGGTCAAACCATATAAATTTTAGTCTGGAGCTGCCCAGAAGACGTGAAAGCCACGGCATACCTATCTTTGGTATGGTGCGTCCGCACATGGAGTAAGCTGTGACATTGTGTGTATTTGCCTGCAATCAGGGACACCCTGTTGTCGCTCTTTTGTTTGTATACTCTAACTTTTTAGGAAGACCTCCCATATGTTTTGTACACAAATCCAAATTGGGGACCTCTCCGGAATCGGGGACCCTATAATCCTCTATTGTGCAGCGTCCCCTATTGAATGCAGAAACAAACTCACCGAGTGTAACGCCAAAACACTGGACAGTGTCCAAAGACAGGCAGCAAGATTCTGCACAGAGAATTACAGTAGGGAAGAGGGAACAGTCACTGGCATCCTGGAGCACCTCAAGTGGGGAGACCTGGAAGAACGCAGGAAGATACAAAGACTATCAATACTGTACAAAATCTAACACGAACTGGTTGTCATCTCACGAGCAGAGCACCTCACCTTAAACACAAGAAATACCAGGGGCCATCAACAAAAATTCTACAAACCACATGCAACCAGGGAAGCCTACAAGAACTCTTTCTTCCCCGGCCGAAAAACATTACATAATGGCACAAGTTGCAAGCCAACGTCGTCAACTCCATGACACTACTTGCATTCAAGGATATCCAAGCATCATGGACAAGTAGGCAATTTCCTAAGGTCATCTCCACATCCACACCATGCGAGTCATAACGTCAAAAGTTGGTGTGATATTCTTGATACGTCACCAGACCAGATAAAAACAAGTCAAGCTTAAAAAGCAAGCCAGGTTACAGTGAGTAATTGTAACAGGGATGAACAATCACTTCATTTAAGACTTGTGATTGACGTTCAACTTATTTGTGACAACTTGTGGTGACATATTAAATGACTTATAATTGACTTGTTATACTTGTGATGACTCGATCCCAATACTGTCATTACTTGGCGAATAGGCCCGTTCTTAGACAGGACAATTCAGGCGAAGCGACCCGCAGGTACTTCATTGACTCTCGAAACAGGCCTGACAGCGCCCTCTATAGTTCCAGCGGGGAGTCTACTTATTAAAAGCCTTTCTTTTTTTCTCTCAGAACAATCAGTATTGGCGCATCGCCTACGACGGGCAGTCCTACTCGGTGGCCCGGGGCTACCCACAACAGTTCAGCAATCGATTCAAGGCGTTTTCGGGCGGGAGCCGGAGGACGCCACTGACGGCGGTAGACGCCGCCTACAAGCGAACGGATGGGAGTCTTAGGTTCTTTAAAGGTGATTCAGTGCTCATTGACTAAAAGAAAAAAAAAGAAGAAAAAAAAGGTAACATTAGTCACGAGCCAATGTGGCCCATCAGGCCAGCGTTTATCTCCAATTTCAGTAGCATGAAGCGACTGACAATCCATGTGTATTTCAATCCCCACCCCCCCCCCCCCCCCATGGTTGGGATGCTAGTCCATCGCAGGTTACCCGCCAGCTAATGCCGGTACCCATTTATACTCCGGGCGGAGTTGGGATAAAGTGGCTTGCCCAAGGACACAGGATATGGCCAGCAGCTGGATTCGAACCCCTGATTCTCTGATCATGAGTCACGAACCCTAACCACTCGGCCACGCTCCCCTCTCGTCTTCAAAGCACCATAATAAAATTAGCATCATTTCTTTTTCTTTTTTAAATCATTGCAGGGACTGAATTTTTCGATTTCAGCGCGGGCGGGAGTCTCCTCCAGCAGGGCAACATCATCAGTCTCTTCCGTCGACGCCAGCGGCAGAGGGCGCCGTCCTCCATCGACGCCGCGGTGTTGGTCCCCAATGCCAACAACATGGTCTACCTGTTCAAGGGCACGCAGTACTGGCGGCTCAACGACGAGGATAGCCGGGTCGACCCGGGCTATCCGCAGCCGCTCACAAAGTGGTCCCCGGAGCTCGCCACCGGTCGGATCGACGGTGCCTTCTTCGCGACTGGTGCGTATAGTAGCCTGAGTATCGCCCGTTATCCCCATGGAGCCAAGTCTCCTGTATAACGTCTGACATGTCTAAACATGCAGATATATGCAAGCCGCGCGCCAGCCAATCGGAGTCGACTTTACAAAAATCGTGACGTCATTTCATTCCCGAACAGGACTAAAACTGTGATTGGTCAATTCGAATGCAGTGTTTTGTAATACAACAACAGCCGCGCGCGTGGCGCGTAACATAATTCAGAGAGCGTGACCATAGCCTTTGTTGCTGTCGGTGTTTTTTTATCCATGTTTAGACGCGACATAGGGTGAATGACCGAAGACCCGATATAGAAAGCGCCCGCTGATTGGTCAAAATCTAGAGGTCAAGATGCGGTTGTCTTGCATAATTAATCCGTGAATCTGTTCAAACTAGACTACGTACAGTGGGGCAGATAAGAGAAATATTTGGGGGAAATGTGCATACAAGCAATTTTCAAAATTGTCAAAATGGCTGCCATTGCAGCCATTCTACCTATATTTATTTTCAAAGGATAAAACTGCGATAGCCCTATAGCCAAGTATCTTTTTCATGACATACTCTGATTGTGTGCCAAGTGCCATGCTTGTATCATCAAAGGCACAATCCCATCACCTCTCTGCCGTACTACTAAGATCCTTCTCTCATTATAGACTGAAGATTCGTCATAATAATGTGGGCAAATTTATCCCACTCCAGTAAAAAAGTACACGATCTAGAAATAAGATCAGAATGAAAGTCATTTAGTCGAAAGGACCGACTTTTTCACTCCAATTTTCACTGAAGGGCTTTAAAGGGTTTTCATTCAAAAATTAACGTGATTTCCATTCTGAATCGTCTGGTACCCTAAGTTTACAAGTTGCAAGTCGCATCCCGACCGCGGATACTTTGTTCTCCAGCCGTCAAGTATAGTCACTGACCATTATCCGGTTCGTTAGTGTGACGTCACCTCCAACACTTTCTGCACGATTGGAACCGGAAGTTAACGCAGCTCGAGCGTTTGCAGCCAATGGGCGCTAGTAATCAGTGGTGTGCGCGCGTGTATGACATTTTTACTAACGAACCGGATAACGCGCATAGGTCCTTGTCATCAATGAATAAATAAATATCTCAAACCCACGAATAAAAAGAAATGTGTCATCGATTGTTTTATTCAAAAGTAGGCCTCATCGAAAAACGATAGAACAAAGACCATTTCCTCTTGATTGACAGACAGGAAAGATCTGTAAATCAATGACGTTGAAGATTGGTGATGACAATATCACCCACGAACCCGTTGGTACAACGTAGCTAGGCCAACTCCTAAAATCTCCCACCGAAAAACTAGTGCGCATGCGTGACTTCTGCAGGCAATAATTACTGTTCATTTTCAGTCCCACACATACTACACAAAACGAAAGAGATGACCAGTGAAGTTGCACGCAAAAGTCACTCTTGCTGTCAATCTTGCTTTCACATTACTGGAAGAAATTTGAGAGTTTGCTTCGGAACAGTTGTTTTTGAATGCGCGCTGCCGTTAGGCCAAACAGGTGCGCGCGCTGTACACAACCAGTACGAATTGGCCTGTTCCGACGGGTTCGGGGGTGATGGTTGGTCATGATTGCGACCTCTCGCGGCGGCGGGTTACCGCGTATCAAACCGTAACATTGCAGCATCTAGTCCCTAGACTATAAACAATGACGAAAGATGGAGAAGTTTGGTAATGAGCAACATGCACGCGGTCACATTTTAGACAGTTTTCTGATTTCAAAAGCTTACCATTTTGCTTCCTCTCCATTCTTTCAGACTCGGTATTCTTCATATCCGGGAACAACTACCGACGCTTCATGTGGGACGGCTACAGCCTGGAGCCCGGCTCTTTCCAATTCGACAGGAAGTTCTTTGGATGCGGCCGATTACAAGACGGCAGCATCTACAATTCAGCCGGCAACGGGCAAGCATCGAGTAGGACCATTCGTAATTGGGCACTGGTGCCCGGCATGTTGGCAGTCTCAATAGCAGCGCGTCACCTGATACTTCATTAAATGAAATGATATTCTCTTTTATTTCACCAACAAGGGATTTGCTTTTATCGATATAAGTGGCCATTTAAAAAAAAAAATTTAGGGGGGGGGGAACTGTTTTCAACGACTCCGTGCGTGAACAAAAGAGGGCGTATGATAACAAGTAGAGCGTGTACAGTACCCTTCGCTGGTTCACGCTCGCCATTCACCGCTTATGTGATCTGTCACACCAGCGTGCGCTAAGCAGTATGGTGTCTGCTAGTGCTTACAAGTTGGCACTATTATTTTCACCGAGATTTACTTATGCATACCGCTTATTACTGAACAGTTTGTTTTCATTCTTATTACTCACATTTTGAAAACAGTCTCACTTTGTAGAAAATGAGAATGGGCATCATACCAACTGAACTCAAGCTGCCAATATTATTAGTGGCTGAGTAAATTTTGATATTTATTTCAATAAAGTTTGGTCGTTATCGATTAAAAAAAAAGAAACAGGGACCGGGAAATGGGAGACATTCTGAGACGTTTTCTGGAAGAATACGTAGGCTACACGTGGGCCTACACGTGCACCGGCTACAAAAATCTATGAGCATGCGCACGACTGCTTAGCAACCAAGGAACTTAGCCCCATGTCGGCTGATGCCGCATGTGTCTCCATTTTGGGCCAAAAAGTTTGTTCGTCTATTATATTGCTGTTGTAAAATGTTCATCTGCTATAGAATGCCTGATTGTGCTGGATCACATTAAATGTATAATTACGAACTTTGGCAAAGTATTTGTACTTTATAGCTATTAAGACAAAGTAGCTGAAATTCTTAAGCTAAAGAGATTATACAATTACTATACAATAATGACTACGGCCTTTGTAATAGCGACTCATTGACTGAATGTTAGAGACATCAGATTGTAATTGTAGTACAAAACTGCAATTGTAGACATAGCGCCGGTGACCGCTGGAGGGCGCAAAGTTTGTGTAATGATATACAAAACAACATTCTCATCTTTTCTAACAATTCGTAATGATAATTGGATTTGATCAAGCTCAATACTGCAACAAAATGAACATGGCTTTTACATAATAAAAAGAAATGCATACCTTTTGATAAGTATTAACGATTTTGTAAAATGTCCATAAAAAACAAGGGGATACGAACAAAACCCGTGAACAACACTTTGCATAATCGGAACTTAATGATGATCCCCGTGCAGTCTCGAGTTTCGCCCGAAAAAATATATTTGTGTTATTTTGTCAATTGCTATTTTCCCAGTAGTAACAAAGTTTTTCCCTTTTGAATGACACATCGAATGAGAAAATCCACCGATGTTTAGTAACTGAATTATTTTCCTTTTATAAAACTTCGTTGCGATAATTCGGCTCTCGCAGAGTGGGTTATTGTGCGGAAAATGAAAGCCTTTTTCCGAGGGTTGCAGAAAAAAAAATTACAAATTGAAATTCGCCACAGGAGGAAAAAGATCTATCATTTTGAAAAGCACGGGCCACGCATAACGAAAAGTTAATTTTTGTTTGTAAATATACTTTTTAAATAGCAAAAAAGGACATTCATTTACCTATTGGAATTGACATGGTTTTCAAGGTTATATATATATTTAAATAATTATAATATACTGTACAGCTATATTACGACCGATGTTACCATGTAATCAAGTTGTGCATGTATGACCCTTATTTTCGCGCATTACAATTTTGCATCTTTCGGTCAGTAAAAATATATTTCTTGTTCATCTGATTTTCTTCCTGTATAAGACGTATAAGACGATTGCTCTTCCTGTCTGTCATCCATTGCTTGGATTAATACTTTGTTATGTTTGCTGTTTTTCACGAATCAATTAAAATATTGTAAACAAACTGACAATTAGTTTGAACATCGTTTCCAATTTATTTCACGTTTTCATCATGATGTCGCATCAAAGGCTTGTTTTCAATGCGTTTAAGGAAAACTCACTTTCATTCACATACCATTCAATGGACCTTATTCACGAGTTGGCAATTTTTGTCGAGTTGCCTGAATGTATTTCATTAATTGTTAACTGTTGAATTGGATGGCGCCAGACTATTCATGCAGGCACAATGCAGCCATATTTTACTGTCATTTTTTTTTAAAACATGGCTTTAAACATATTAGGGAATGTTTTAATTACAAATTATAGATTATTTATTGAGGCAGACTGGAATTGATTATTACTTTAGTTGCTTTCATTTCTCTTCGCAACTTTCAAATTTTTTTTAGATTTTACCTAACTTTCAATTCAATATGGCCGACTCGTGAATAAGGCCCATTACAAAAGGAACGTGGAAGGTGATTCACTTGATTTGTACTGTTAGTGTTGTAGTACTCGTACTCGGTACTCGTACTCGAGTACTACTCGACTACTTTTTTTGGAGTACTCATACTCGTACTCGTACTCGAATGTCAAAGTACTCGTACTCGAAATGACGGTACTCGCACTCGGGCAGCAAAGTACTCGTACTCGACATGTCGAAATTGTACTCGATCATTAAAGTACTCGTACTCGAATATAGCAGTACTCGGGGGAAAAAATGTTATAGCTTCACTTACCATGGCCTTATTTTATCGATTCTTTCAGTTTGAAATGGTTGATTGGCTTGTTGAGAAATCGAGATTTCCTGATTTTCTTCTGTGCAAGTCCAGACAAACACATTTAACAGCTAGCCGTGAGTGGGTCTGTATATATATGGGCCTAGGCCAATTACGCACAATAAACCAATTGCCTTATGGCCGTATTCGGAAATGCGATTACTCGTACTCGTACTCGGAAGTACAAGTACTCGTACTCGGAGACCCGTTCTTGTACTCGGAGGTACTCGTACTCGTACTCGTACTCGGCAACCTAGTACTCGGCAGTACTCCGTACTCGGAAAAAAGGACTCGACTACAACACTGTGTACTGTACATTACCGGCTTCCAGATGCAAGGACCTCATACTGATCCAGAGCCCCTCAAGTCTTGGGAGTAACATTAGAAAGCTGAAGACGGAAGCCAAATGCAACCGGGCACGGAGCATCATAATGCCGTTTGTGTCGGCCAAAAAATATATTCGTTTCCAAAAGTCGTTTTACAGCCAACATGAATAGCGCCACTGGGGGGGGGGATGGTTTGCCCACGGACCAATGGTCCGTGGGTTGCCTCAATCACGGAATCGCTTCCGCAAAATCCTGTAAGGTAGACCAGTACAATAAACTATCATAGACCCCAATGATAAATGCCCCACTTCAGAAACGCAGGATAAATACTCACAACTATCTAAAGTGTTCAAAACACACATCATCTTTCATTTTCTGTTCAATATTTTGAGGGTAATAAATCCGATGACTTTTGGGAGAAATTTCCATCCGAAGATGATCGTGCCCCTTAACATAGTCCTGAAGCCAAACGCCATTTGGAAAAACGATGCCTACGTTCCATCCATTGCAAAATACAGCGCTTTTAGGGCCCAATTTCATCCAAATTTCTTTTATTATTACAAACCCTCAAGTTCATGGCTCACAAAATGCTCTAATACCGAAGAATTTGAGGGCATGCAAGTCGTGATTTCATTTTGCCGGCATATTTACTGTTCTGCACCCGTATGTCTGATCCTTGCTGCGTGCCATTATGCTATAACGTTATCTCTATGATATAACGTTATCTCTATGAAAACGCCCGTAAAATTATGATTAGCTCTTGCGACTCTATAGGCACCATCTTATTTGCTAATGCCATATGCATCTCTATAATTTATGTACCCCATATGACAGTATATTTCTCGTATATGTATTCCAGGCACTTTTTGCTATTTCTACAGTATGCATAAAGTTATTATTGTTATTGACAGTCCCCACGCTGAAGCGCCCTCTTGTGATTGGTTCTGATTTTACCACCTCGCGCTCACCCTAAACGCCTTTACTCGGCCAATAAAACGGTACGTCAGAAAACGGCTGTTGTTTTCAGCACTAGGATTACTCATTTCTTCCATGAATAATTGTATCAAACGGTCATGGACCACCTGTGACAATGACTCACTCCAAAATCACACCAAAAGTCCCAAGGGGTCCATTTTATGTCCCTGCAAGTTGCAGCAGGAAGCAACATTATCCGAAGGTTATGATCCCCAAAAGTCATTTCGTCACTGACGTCGTTATTTAACGCAGCTGCAAACAGTGTTGTAATCGAGTACATTTCCATGAGTACGAGTACGAGTACTTTAATTGTCATGACTGCCAGTATAAGTACGAGAACAAGGCAATTGTTTCCACGAGTACGAGTACGAGTACCCAAAAATGTACTCCACTGTACGAGTAGCCTACGAGTACGATAGCGGCGTAGCTGGGGGGGGGGGGGGGGGGGGCGTGGGGGGCAACCTGACTATCACAGTCGTATAAGATACCATGCATGCTTAGCGTGTTTAACAGAAAGTGCCCCTTTTACGTTTTCTGTTTGTTTTCCACGAAAACCCTGTTTTCGCGATAGCGCCACCTATTGTGTGAGATTGACCATGATGGGGCCGGCCGACCGGGTGCCCAGTGAAGAAACCTGTCTACCTTTCAGCACAGATGAAATTGGTTACGGGAATTCATTGAACGTATGTTTCAATATACAAATGCATTTGAAATTCGTTTTCTACGTGCGAAACTGAACGAAACACGTACTCGTGCCCAAACGACTGAATATAAACGCACCGTCCCAACATTAGTACTCGGACACGGGCCCATATACGTGCGTCAGAATGAGAACGATCTTTTGCAAGTAGAAGACAAAATGGCGGACTCAATGGAAGTGAGGCCAACCTAGAGCTATCAATTAATACTCATTTCATGTCACCAGGGGTAAGGCAATACACCAAATGCAATAAATACACTAATAACGAAAAACAGGCGAGTGATGTCGTTTCCTGGTAACTATGTGACGTCATCGAAGCAGGCTTTACTATTTCACCCACCCATGTTACATGTGTAACATATGGGCCTACCAGGAATGCTATACTATTTTGTATGTATGTATCCCTTTCATGCCTGACACAGCAACTGTCAACATTTGTTAGTTTCTAGGCAGTGGCAAGTTTTAGTTACAGGAAATGGAATTAAGATCGAGTCATTGACACTTCGCAGTGTCGAATGTTTCTAGGTTTGCTACCAGTATACCACTAGAGCCAGGCCAACTGACGTTCGAGCGTTCTTTTTTATCTACCCCCTGAGGGAACTTTGTTAAGTTGAAAAAAATTGAGTCATTTCGGAGATACCGTTATGGTATTGGAAAACAAGGGAGTTTAAATTTGACTACGAAAACAAATCATGAAAGGAGTAAAACACTCACCATTGGAGAAAACAAGTGGCCTGTTTTCTTCATTAAGTTAAGTTTTCTTCACGTAGGCCAATGAAAGTACATTCTGGGTTTTTTTCGACCAGCTTACGGGAAGCCAAAATAATGATGGCGCTGAAGAGAAAAGAGATTTTTTTTCGCGATATTGTTATCTTTTAAAAACGACCCCAGTTTTTGTAACGACATCAGGATGATTATGGCCCGAGCGTTGGGAGTTTCTTAAAAAAAAGAATAGGAACCGTAATAGCCTTGATCTTTCGTGGGTAAGGTGTTAGGCGTAAAACGAATATCCCCTTATCATGCTTATAATACCCACCAAGTTCGTCAAAATAAAAAGGATATTTTGTAACCGACATCGTTTCGATATCCGTTCTTATAACTTTCCTTATACCTAAGGAACAACACATTGAATTGATGAAAAACGAGTCTACAAATTCAAAACAAAACATAACAATGGGACAGTTTACCCTCATTTTACCCATTCCTCCCACAATGAAATGGGATATAAAACCACGCCCAAAACTAGAAATTTATGTTGGAATATGGGGTGGGTAGGCATGCATTCATTTATACTCAAGGTCCAAATTCGCATGGTCCATATAATTATTATCATCCCCATCTGGGGAGTTATTACTGATTCCACTCATGCATAGACAATGTGTCACTACCCACATCACATGTAGACAAACTTAACAATTGACGCTTGCTGCACCATCTGCTTGGAAATGTGACCGAGAACTCCGTCCCTTGGGTATCACCGCGTATTGTCTTACTGTCGACGTGTGGCATATTTGGTGTAAGCCAGGAGCTTGGGAAATTGCCCAGCTTGGAAACTTGCCCACGTAGGCTGCTTTGCGGCCTGTTGGCGTGTGTGTGTGTGTAAAAAGCCGCGGCGCCCGCTTCGGTGACTCGATACCGCACAGTCCATCCCGGTAGGCGCTAAGCACGACACCGCTAAGGACGTCTTGGACTAGACTACACGTTCTGATGTTCGTTCGTTCGCAACCCTATCCACTGTGCCGGTGATCGCTTATCACCTTTTACATTGATGTTAAGGGATCCAGACCCGCAAATAGGTCTAGGCCCAGAATTGCCTACGCGGGCTAAATCACGATTTGTATAAATTCTTAGCTATCATGCATTTTGTGGACCATGAACTTGATGGTTTGTTAAAAAAAAAAAAAAAAAAGATGGGTGGAGGCCATACACATGAGTGCAAGCTCGTATTTCTGTGAAATTATGAAATTGGACCCTAAAATTGCTCTATTTTGCAATGGAGCGCAGGAATAATTTTTTTTTCAAAATTGCGATAGGCCACAGGACTATACTTTTAGGGGTAATCATCTTTGGATGGAATTTTCTCCCAAAGCTTAGTCATCGGATTACCGTACCACCCGAACATTGAACAGAAAGTAAAAGATGATGAAATTAGCTTTAATTTGATGGGTGTCTCAAACACCTTGGAGAGTTGTGAGTATTTTTGACAATTTTTGGAAGTACGCGTACTTATCACTGAGGTCTATGGGAGTCAATTTACAGGTGTGCACTGTAGGTAGGTTATCAACATTCCGTGCGCATGCGCATGCCCCTGGTCATCAGGTCAACAAATTCATCCCGAAAGAGCTCAGAGAAATATAGGTCACTAACTTCTTTTGATTTTTTTTATGAGGTTTTCAACCCTATTATGAGATGACACACATTCTGTCTCAGAAATTGAAATAAACATCTGTACCGCTGAACACATATCCAAAGAATGTCAAAACGAAAGACGCTTGATTGGCCTAGTTGAAATAATCCATCTGTCATGATGCGCCATAACCACTCACCGTATAGGGCCGACGTGCATGCACGCTCCCAAAAGTACAAAACCTCAACTATTTCCCTGAATTCTTGACCCCATTATGAGCCCGCCAAGGACAAGAAGCCAGCGAGGAAAGCACGGACCATTTACTGTGATCAAAGTAGTCTGGTTTCCAGACCCAATGAGTGCGATTGTGACTCATCTGATGTATATAATCATTTAAGCCACATTAGGGGCTCCGTCAGGTCAAGGAACGAGACTGATTAGAAAGCCGCCAAAGGACCGATGTGATATTTCATTGCCGATGACAGAAAGTCCCCGTGTGTACTCTTACATGACTACTGAACGAAACACCTGGCATGGCACAGAACTATACGATATGGGCCAACAAAATAAATATAGAGATTGATTTACCTTGACTTGTGAACCATTCCCAGAACAAGCTCGAAATGATCTCGAAACTGCGGCCCAACTGTAGACCTGCTGTCGCCTATAAATAGTCATGTGTAAAATGGTATGGAAAAACCCTAACCCCCTCGTGGTATTCTCTGAGCACCCTGCCAAATGCAACAGAATGCAGTGCCAGCCTTAGTACCAAGTACCTACCCTGCCAAATGCAACGGAATGCAGGGGTGGAATGCATGCAGATCCGGACACTGCTAAATGCAACAACTTGCAACAACTTTTGATACTGGTGCATTCTGTGGCATTTTAGCAGGGTTAGGGTACACGTATGGAAATGAGAAACAGTTGGGTGTCTGGATTTTTGGTAGAATTTACTGTGAATAAAAATATTGGCAATATGACTGTTGGATAGCCCTATATCATCATGGGGACAATTACTTGCGTCAATTTGGTGACGTTGTCGAAACAAATGCTCACATCAAATGAAGTTCCGTTTTCTTAAAAACGTTTTCAATTCACTTTATTGTGAATTATTATTAGACTATACCATTGTAATACACAGTTGAAAAGCTACATTGATAAACATCTTTGGCTTGTCATTGAGAATGCTGCCAACGGTAAAAAAAAGTTTATTTACAGATGTCCAACTATTTACAGTACAATAAACAAGGCCCCGTCTGAATTGATCGGCTAAAAGACCGGCAGTAATATGTAGCTTCAGACGCTACCGTAGGCACAAGAAGTACAAGCCGTTACTTCGGACACGACCTTAGACCATCGAGGGGTTCTTCCTCCATGCTTAGACTGGCTTCAAGTTGACCTTTGACCCAAGCATCCGCGCCAAACAATTGATGGTTGCAGACCAGTAAATAGACTTGCGCGCACTTCCAAAACTTATTTAAAATACTCACAATTCTCAATGGTGTTTGAGACAAACATCAAATTAAAGACAATTTCATCATCTTTCATTTTCCGTTCAATTTTCTGGGGGTTACCAATGAACTTTGGGAGAATTTCCATCCAAAGATGATCACCCCTAAAGCAGTACTGAAGCCCATCGCCATTTTGAAAACGAGCGCCTACGCTCCATTGGCCCACTTTCATCCAAATTTCACACTAATTTATACGCGGAGTTCGCAGTCCTCTGCATGGCTTCCACCCTTCCGTTTTACAAATCCTCAAATTCACGGCCCTAAAAATGCTCAAATACCGGAGAATTTGGAGAATTTGAGGGCATGCAAATCGTGATATGGTCGGCGTAGACAATTTCGGACCTATTTACTGGTCTGCACCCTGATGGCGTTGGTACAGGCTGTTCTCATCACGAGGCAATGAATTATGAGGTTAGAGAAGTACAATGTACGCCGAAATTGGATGTTGACACGTGACGTCATATATACACGAGTCATCAACACTTGTAGTTCATTCTTGCATTGGCCACTTAGTTCGGCTTACCCACAATCCTGTGCGTTTCCGAGCACGACTCTGAACCCAAAGTGGATTAGTGCAGCCTGAACCAACGGTCTTGGTATTGACAGCTTACGCACAAACACGTAATACCTCCAATTCACTCAAAACAATTTGTTTACAACATACAGGTTAATATTTATATGGATAAAAACGATATACATACATAACGTCATGATAAACAGTGGAATTTTCAATGTTCCCTTTTTAATACTTGCTCGTGGACAAAAAGGAAATGGCCAGAGTGTATAGTAGACTCTGGCCCACAAAGATGGCCATGATATGCATAATCACAATTTGAAATGTCTGTACTCCCATAAATCCTCGGCCGAAACTAAAGCAACCTGGGTCGAGTCAAGTTCAGTTTGGTACCCAAGTACCCATCCAAGCACACTCACACAAGTGTGTATTTGCCTGCAATCGGGGACTCCCTATTGTCCCTGTTTTGTTTGTACCTCCCATATGTTTTGTACACGATCGCCAAATTGGGGACCTTAGGGAATTGGGGACGCTATTGTCTTTTATTGGTCAACGTACCCTATTGAATGCAGAAAGAAACTCAGATAACCCAGGGACCATTGTCCCTGGTGGATAAGCTCAACTCGTTTGGTATAGGGGAGGGAATACTTTATAGAGGGGCCAAAATGTACAAAGCTGCTGGGTACGAAACGCTGCTAAGCAAATTGAGCAATAGAAATATATATGTACATCGAATGGCATTTTTATGGTATACCGCGCTTGGCTCTAGAGCTTTCATATGCTTTAATACAGTCGTTTTAATACATTGTAATGCAATCAATGGTGTCCTCAACAATATAAACATCCATGCACACACATACTGAAATTTGTATCCTTGAGGAGTCATTTCTTTGTTCTCGTGTAATAAAGTTTTCGAGTTTGAAAGTGTACTTTCAAAATGCTCCCATAACTAGAATTAATTTCCTGGGCTGAAATTCGGACTTAATATCCGTTACATAAAATACTTCAGTTTGCGACAAAATCAACACACATTGGATATTCCTAGTTTTTGAGTAAAATCCATATATCTTTTTCATGATAACCTTGTGGCGACGTATTCACCTATAGATAATTCTCTGTGGAGACGTATACAATCTTTGTGTTCCCTATTGTGTACATGTCCCCAGAGGGTACGTGTACCAGATCAAAATAATATACAGAGAAAAGGCTTGGTACAAGAACAGTTGCCAGTCTGGACAATGTAAGCTCGCTACGTTTGCGACAGGAGAAGCAATTAGCAAGCAAATTAAACTAGTATTAAATTTACATTTATGCAAGTACAACAGGTTATCACAGTTCAATGGCGTTGTCTGTTGCGTAATCTGGCTCTACTTTTCCTGCCGTAGAGGGCGTGCAGACCCGCCATGTCGTTCCTGGACAGCTCGAAGGCGGGGTCGTAAGCTCGCGCGATCGGGTACATGACGGACTGTGGATGGGGGGAGTGGCCAAGGCCAAGGGTGTGGCCAAGCTCATGGACCAGGAGCTGGAAGAGGTTGATTCCTGTAGACAAAATGGAAATTGGTGAGACGATTTATTAAAATAGAAGTCCGATAAACATTGCTATATACCCAGGACAAACAAATCCGTCGGTTTGAGCTTTAAGATGGAGATGATGCCGCGGTTTAGGAGATAGCCAAGATTCTTAAAACCCCAATCTTAGTGAAGACAAATGCAAGGAATATATTGCCTACCATCGGTCTCCTCTTCAAAGGAGTAGCTCTCCGAGGCGTCCAAGTGGATGTCACCAGGAAGGGCAGGATCGCTTGGTGAGAACGCGTGACCCACCTCCCCCAGGGGCCGCCAGAACGCCCGTCGGTCCCCGTGGTCCATGGTGCCCATGAACTTGACGTTGATGTCCGCTCCGCCCGACCGGACCTCGGTGAATGTCAGCGGGGACCTGCTGCTCCAAACACGGCAGGCTTGCTTTAGGACGCGCCGCACGGATTTCTTGGACATTAAGTTCGGGATCCGGGATATTCTGAAAGGATTACAGAAAAAGAAGTTGGCAGATATTTCCCCTCAATGTCCTCGGTGCGTTTTCAACTTCCAAGAAATGTACAGGAAACAAGTAATTGAGTTCCAGTAGCAGAGGAAGCAATGGAATACCTCTTTGGAGACACATTTCACCAAAAGGGGAAATGTCCCCTTCTGAATAAACATTCAAATTGAATCTTGTTGATTTCAACAAATTCAAACTGCTGCTTGAAACAAGCACATTGCTTCCCATATTTTCATAAAAGTCTTTCTGGTTATTCCTCAAAAGTGCACAGGTCATTGAAGTTTGGCAGTCTAAAGAAACCTATGGTGAAGAAATCCACAAGTTGGAAAGAGGGAGGGGGGCTCATGGTGGATTCGAACCTCGGTCGCACAAGGCGAAGGATGTACCATTATGTCAACACCATTGCGCCAACGTGACTCTTGAGCAATTTGTCGGTTGATTAATGGAGGAAGGAATTCCTCCATGATTGATTGTATAAGATATTTAGAGGGTTCTCTTGGCGGTAAAGCAAAGGGTTTCCAAGCAACGATTCTTACCTAACCGTCAGTTCCGTCTTGTTCCACATGCCCCCTTCCAGCCAGTACCGGAACTCGTCCCGTTCCGCCTCCCCCGTGAACTCCGGGTCCCGGCAGCCGCAGCGGGGCAGGTCCATCTTGTCAAGGGTCTCCTCGTCGATCATCTCGGTCTTGGGAAGTCCGTGGAAGACCTGGTATTTGCCGATACCAGACTTGATCATCGCCATGTCTAATCCGTTGCCGTCTTTGCCGGCGTCCAGGTGAATGTAGCTGTATTTTTTCAGGTACTCCTGTAGTGTGAGAAATGGACAAACGCTTTAACTTCACAGACAGTGGTGTTGTGTTAAATTCACACTACACACCTGTGTAAAGATGAACACCTGTGTAAAGATTAACACCATGTGGCATCTAGTGTAATGACAACTCGTCCAATAGACCATATGCACTGCAGCCATCTGGGAGGTGCGTGCTTTCGTTCAACCCTAGCTCTATGGTTCAACTTTGATAAGCATAAGCAAAAACACACCTCCAAAATGTCTGATGATGAAAGTAATCGATGTATATATTATACGGTGTTGATTTAACACCGCCATTGGTGTAAAAAATGATGACGTCAATTCCCATGCCGGGAATCGAACCCGGGCCGCGTGGGTGAAAACCACGAATCCTAACCACTAGACCACATGGGATCTCTGATCACGGGTGCAACGCAGTGGATACATGTATGACTTAATCCAAAGAGTTCAAATATCGACTAGTAGTCTGAGGCTTTGCAATCTCTTCCCTGATCGCATAAGGGCGGTCATTATATCACAGAAACCAAGCATTTCACTGTGGAGGGGGGCGGGGCGAGTTGGGGGCTATGGCGCTTGTGTGCGTTTGGGGGGGGGGCTTCGGTTGGTGGAAGTAGGGTTGGCGGGCAGGCGATGATCGACCCGGCGAACTGGGGTGGAAGGCACTCAGGCTCAAGTGAAGTATAGACTTCAGCATCTTTCCGTTCTCAGGGGTTTATTCTGGTCACAATGCGCGGGCCGCAGTGCCCAGAGGCCATAATTGGGCAGGCACTGCCGTGCGGCCCGCGTGATATGAGACGCATAAAATAGAACGTACAATCTGGGTTTACGACAAATTGAATTTAACACAGCACAGACCAAAAAATAATACGTGTTTCTACTCATTTAAACCTTATACGAAGTACTCTTAATACTCTACTTCAAATTGGATGTCACACGTGCAACTACATGCATGAAGTTACAACATCCTGAGTCATTGCACGGTTATATTACAACCAGCTCAAGTTCCATTTGTCTCGGAGTGTGAACTCTGGTAAGTATTTGTGACTGGTCATGTTAGAGGTAACGCTGAGACAGTAAAAATAACCAGGAGAACGGTAAATTGATAATCATTACAAATGACAATAATAACGTCAGATAATAATAACTTGGGATAACATGAGATATTAACATGAAATGAACTAAGACGTAAGAGCGAGTCGGGCATCCCTACTACATCACGAAAAGATCAATTTTCTCCCATTTTTTGCATGCATAGTTAAGTTGGCTTTCCTTTGCATTTACCCGAGGCTTAATCATGCAGCACATGGGATGACTGAAGCACAAAACAGCTTCAGTTTTTGGTCAAAATATCAAAAATCACCAGCTTTCTTAAGATGTATACATGATCATCTACGGTGTTGACCTTTGGAGACAAGTGCCTTAATTTAATCTGCCCACTGAGTAACCACACTCAACCAAAAAAGAAAGTCCCCCAATCCTTTTTTGTCTAACTCAAAAACTACTGGGCACATCTTGCTCAAATTACGACTGAGCAGTACATAAATTCTTTAGCAATCCAGCCATACTCTTTGTTTGGCCGAAAACGGTGATAATGTGTATCAAATTATGCAATTTATGACAAATGGTACCGAGAAAAAAAGTTGCCCTTTTGTATACGTGCGAAGTGAGCGTGAACCACAACTTGCACGTATACGAAAGTGCAACTGTTTTCGGTATCGTTTGTCATAAATTGCATAAATTCGTACGCATTATCACTGTTTTGGGCAAAATAAAGAGTACGGCTGGATTGCTAAGGAATTTCTGTACGTTATTTGAGCGAGATGTGCTCAGCAGTTTTTCGCGAAATTCGTTTGAAATCTTACATTATCTTTTTACGCTATAACTTTAGGAAGGGAAACTATTTGAGAAATGTGCCAAGGACTCATACCTGTTCAAAGAAACACGAATGTTTGTAAACAATTCCACCTCCGCTCGTCTGTAAATATTTACGGCACGACAAGGTGGATGCTAACAAAACAACACAACGACCGAATTCGCCGCTTTATTAGCCAAAATCACAGACCGTACGGGCCCGCTGTCTGAGGCGTCCTTGTGCGCATGGCTGGGTGTGACGTCATTACCTCGCGTGAGTAAATTTGGTTTGTGTCATTAATTTCATTAACCTCGTCATCCCCAAATATTTCCGTTTTAATCAAGATGTTTTGCATAACAACGAAAAATTCAGCATTGAATGAGCATGTGCAACTTTAAATTTGAGGCGAGTTCTAGTCTTCCTACAAGCCGCTTAACGGCACCGCCAATCTCTACCGGCATCTGTCTTACCATCTTTTCATTCAATATGAACTTGCATTACTCGTGCCGTTTTCAAGTTTGGCGGGACGGATCCAATCTTTCGGGAAAGAAAACACCTTCCCTTCATAATCCTGCATAATAGAACTATACAGTTTGATATACGTACCGATTGAGCATTTTTTAGCTCCGTTAATTAGTTAGTTAGTTAGGAACAAACGTGCGTTGATATTGCCGATTTCAACCAAACTTTGTCAAAAGTATCAGTACTCCAGTAGCCCAGCCCCAACATGTCACATGACCAAACTGGGGTCAAAGGTCATCATGGGGTCCCTTGGGTCAAAAACCTGGAGTTTTTTTAAAACTCAAAACACTACTCCTTCCAGAAATACAATGGCACAATCACGTGGCATGCATGAACACGAATTTGTTGGCCCGCAGCTCATGATATATTTCCGATGTTCCGATCGAGCATCAAGCATGCTTCAAGACAGTGTTCTCTGCAGCAGGCCTACAGTTGCCACGGAGAAATAATTATAGGCGCACTTGAGTTGTGAACTATAATTATTTATAGGGCTCACCGAGAAAGTACGAAGGTCGCGTTATGAACCCGCATAGAGCATGTGCTTGCCTATAAGGTCAAACCAAAGGTCAAGGATCAAGCCTACTCACAACCTGTGATTTTCACGAGGCGCTAATTGGAATGCAAGGCCCGATTGTTAGGGACAAGGGATCACATTTTTGTTGGGATGGATACGCGGGCTCTCATCTCTTTATGTATTTGTCTCCAGAATTGAATCGGATCGTGATATCAAGGTTAAATCTATAAATATTTCTTTGAAGTGTTGATTAGCTGGTACGGTCCAAGGGGAGTGAATATTTACGATCTCGTTTTTGTGGATTCATTTTCTCTGTTGTCATAGAAAAATCATCGTAGAATTCCACTTGATATTGTGACCTTTAGGTAAATCATAATACAATGTAGGCCTACTGTAATTTCGTAGTATATGCCGACTTTCCCTCCAGCTCCTTGGATGACTCTCTAAATTCCAAAGAATTAAATTAGGGACTTTAGAGTGAATTTAGGGTGAAAATCGCTCTCATTTTCGATTGACACGGTCTGAAAATGAACCACTTCAGTCGAGGTTCGAGTGAAACCTCGATCTTTACGATTGAAGAACTTTCACTCTTAAACGTCTAGTCCCCATAGTTTCCGACTGTGGGAGTGAATCTTCACTCGAATGGAGTGAATTTTCACTCTTTGGAATTTAGAGAGAAGGAGGACGTTGTTTTAACCATCATCAATGGCGAGGTTCCTTTTCAAGAGATATCCATCTAAACTTGTTTAACTTCAATAAAACTCTCAAGAAAGCAATCATAAGAAGCTGTGGCAAATCCAACTCGTTTTACTCATCCAAACATGGAGCTGTAACTCCATAATCTAAATAACCGGGGAAAACACATTTAAGCAGTGTCAACTGTGAACAATTCTTGCAGTAAATTAGGCTCGTTTGGCTGTTGTTATTATAATGAAAGGGATCGCGTACATACGACAATATGCCTCGTTTTAACTTCCAATTCTATACCAGAATCGGTGACTTTTGTCCCCAAAATTGTGTACCCGGCCCTGTCAACAGTTCTTGCAGTAAATTACACTTGTTTGGCTGTTATTATTGGAAGGGATCTTATTCATGTTTATACGACAGTGTGCCCCTTTTTAACTCCGATTTCTATAATCGGTGACTTTTGTCCCCTAAAAGTGTACCCCTATTCAACCTTTATGCACCCCAAGTTGCCCCCAATTTAAAGCTAAATGGGGGCAGTCGGTAATTGCAGTCCGACCTCCCACAGTGTTTCAATTCTGGGCCAATTATCACCAAAGTGCCGCTGGGATGGGGGATCATTAGATCCGTTGTGTCGTGCTGATGAGATACTTCGGAGAAGAAAATTACCAAGCCTGAAAAAGGAAACAGTTACATTTTCAAGAGATTTAAGAAGTGGGGGTAATTCTACCTCCATGCTTTAACCATAGAGCTAGGACCAGGTCTAAACTGCCCTACACAAGAATGTCAACAAGAAAGGCATTCGCCCATGCCTTGATAGGAGTCAAGAACGGTGTTATCCGTACCCTATAGGCGCCTAGTATTAGTAGGCCGTTTACGTCATGCAGTTTCTGTCAAAACGTCAAAAAATAGGCTTTCTGTGAATAGAATAAAGAGTCACATTGTGACTGCCACAATATCTTGTTCTAATGATTGCCTTTCCAAAATTGTGAAACTCCCTTTAAAATAATGCACTGTATTGACTTAGGGCCGAAAATCATTCTGACAAAGTGAAAATCTATATCCGGGTGTGACTTCATATTGGTGGTAAATCATAATTATCCATAGAGAATCGTAAATTGAGAGTCCGGAATCGGCACAATGCATGAAAAGCCTGACAATGAATCATATTTCCACACGATTTTGAAATAACTGCAAGGATTCATTACGCATGGATCCGCTCCATAATTGGCCGAGGCGACCGAGACGGAAGTAGTTTATAATGCGTGTTTTAGCGGCCACTGTAGCTCGGTGTGCTCCGTGCGCGTGTGCCTCACCCTACCCTCCCCCATGGAATGTTTTTCCTGCCGGGGTCACCGCGAGGTCAAGTCTTTGGGGAGGTAGGCCCCGATTAATGACGCATGCTTGAAAAGCTTGAGAGGTGCCATCCGGAATCTTACCCGTCTCTTTCGACTTTCTGTTTTCCCTTCTTTTTTTTAAGGAAATGCCGGAAGGAAGTTTTGGATTAGTTCCAATTGGAGGTGTGAAGTTGTAGGATGTCACAGTGAAAAAACATGCGTCTCAATTTCAAAAAAAAAAAGAATAAAGAAGAGAAAATAAAAGCAACAAAACAAGTGACATCGGAACAGGTAAACAGGAATTCCACAGAAGTAAAGAAAAAGTGGACAACCAGGTAAAGTTTTGCAATTTGCTTGAGAGCGATTTCAGTCGCTGGGTTCACACGCCACTGAAACGGCCAAATTTTAACTCTCAATTTCAGCAAAACTCAGAAATAGAATTGTTTTTAAAATACGTGTGATCCTGAATTCGAAAAAAAAATCCGAATCATAATATTCACTTCACCAAATGTGCAATCAATAGCGTCTTCAATCCAAACCTGTCATGCCTAGTGTATAGAGAAAAGGCACATTTGTAATGATAGAGAAAAAGCACATTTATAAAAATTATTATCCTTAAAACAAAGAGTACACATGACCTGATACTCAGTTGGTTTTCTGAACCCCCTCCCCCCCAAAAAAAATGCAATACCACCCTAATAATAATTTTTCTCGTCATAGATATGAACATCCATTTCTCCTTAAACTGATGTGGAATGATCTCCATCAACCATTAATAAATTCAACTTCACCAACACTTTTTAAAGAAAACTTAAAAGACATTCTCAAAATCTTCGAAGAAACCATAAGTTAATTTCCCAAGTCTAACAGTAGATTTTGAAAGTCGCAAACTGCAAAGTGAGTGTTCAGCCAACGTTAGGCTGCTGCAATATTCTGCTATAGCTCTTTCAACCGCAAAACAAGGAACACCAAAATATCCTCTCATCAACGTGATGTTGACTATCGACTCCCTGATGAAACCTCCGGGCACGCACAATGCGAGCCCGCAACGTGCCGCGCCGCGCCCCACAGATTTCTCACCTTGACACGGCAAGTGCCCCCAAAGTGCCCCGTGTTCGCTCGCTATCAAAGCTCACCAGCAAGGCACGAACTGAGATTGCAGCCAGGAATGTCATGTTTGCGAATGAATGAGTAGTTGCATTTTATGAGCACTTTTACTTTTAGAACTGAATGCTTTGGAGGAGTCGCTAAAGCATGTCAAAACAGTAGGTATATATTTGGTATCAGTGATTATGGTAGAACTAGAACTATATAGAGACATGAGAGACCATAGAAGATTTTAGAATCAGTATTATAGAAGTAGAACTTAACGGGTCAGAATTGAATTGGTTCGTTCAAAACAGAACTAAAAGAACAAGAGTCACAAGAGTTTGAGTGTGTACTTACTAGCATGCTAGCAACTGCTGAAAAATTCTTCTTATCTTAAATACCAACATGAGCAACACATGCCAAAACTTTAGCTTGAATTCTCTTCATGCTCTTAATAACTCGAAACACAGGTGACTGTCAATACACTTTCGGTTGTTGTTTTTTTCTACGTGATCCACTACTGATTCATTAATTACTCAATCAGTATCACTGAATCTTCATTGATCTTAAATGATTCGTAATGATTTGTATAACGACTCACCATTCCTTCCATGAGTTTCTCAAGCCCCAGTCCCCGAGCCAGGGGCACATTCATCCCGTTCGTCTGCGTCCGTCCCGCCGCCACGAGCAACAAGCACGCCGAGATAAGAACGTACATCTTCAAAGTCCCACTTCCCACGGCAATAAAAACACAGAAAGGTTGCAGATAGACTGCCGAACTGTCAAAAAATAAATCTGGTGAAAGTCTTGCAGGCCCTCAAAGATCAAAATTCTATAGTTTAGAAAAGGTTCCGGATACGCTTGTCAATGTGTGATATTTGCCACACGTTCTCTCTTCCAATATGATGCATGTACAGCGCTTGCTTCCAATGCAGAAATATGTTTGCTGACTTGACGCTGAACGTGTCTTGAGTCTTCTGCATGCAGCTCAGTTCGTCCTCGCGTAACTTTCAAGACCGTCCAAGGCTATGTAGTCCCATACAGTTCATTAAGAGATTTCGACTGGCGTAAGAACTGCCAAGAAGTTCCACTTAGCGTGAAATCGGTGGCGCAATCGTGGGTCCTTGCTCGTCACCAAAGGGGTCCAATCTCTGGGTGGGCTGCATTTCCACGAAACCGCAAAAACAAAAAGGAAAGTCACAATTTATGAAAGTGGGCGGAGCTAACTCGCCGCGTTGTAAGTGCGATTCGCTGGTCTTCAACTTTCTCGATTAGCAGTGTTGGTAAGCGCGGGGAACCTGTCACTCGTCAGGCCTACGTAATGTCACTATTGGGCCAATGTTTTCCCCCATGGGTTAAAAACTTGGCACAAGTCCAGATCTACCAGTATGATGTTTTCCTCAAAAGAAGACAAGGACGAATAAATTGATGCACAACCTATTTTTTTTTTTTTGCGAAAAGATTATTAAACAGTATATGAAAGAAAGATGACTGGTATGGGTGGTAGGTCTAATGCATCGGGTCTAGTGGTACCGAAGATGTGCCGATCTTGACATCGGTTCAACTCAATCGTGCCAGAGTCCGTTCCAACCCGGTTCAACTTAAAACCGAAATTTTACCGAATCAACTAATAACTGAGTCAATTTGAAAGTCCAAATCAACTTGTAATTCATTCAACCCAACTCAACTCGTACTTGAGTCAATTCGTACCCAAGTCAACTCGTAAATGATTTACCTCGTATCCGTGATATGATTCGACTCGTCCCAAAGCCAAGCCCCATCTCCATGGGCGAGGGGGTAAAGCTCTCAAAATCTTCGCACATTCTCTATAGCCTCAATTCATCATTAATTTCGAGGGCCCACCTCACCCCTTTTGACAACCCTGTGGACGCCCATGTTGTTAAATAAGTGTGCGACTGTGCCCGATGGGGCATGCGCCACCCCTATCCCCGGCCCCTGACGCCCTTGCTCATCTCGTGCAACCTCCAGAACTGACCATCCATGATTCTTGACGGAGTCCTCATTTCATTTGGTGTTTTTTCTAAATCGATTTTGTCTTGTTTGTGGACCCAATTAAATGATACCCCATGCTGACGAGTAATGAGTTATGACACGGCATGGATTTCAAAGAAAGTTGTTACTAGTAAAAGGGTCCGTCCGGGTATAGTCCGTAACTTTAGGCGATATGTTAGGCCGTAGTTTAGGCCAAGTTAATTGGGCCGAAGTAATGCGATAAGTGGCGGCAGAATGCCAAGCTTTGAAGGGCCGTGCCGAGTCAAATAAGGGCTGACAGTGTGACGGTTACGTGACGTCATGCGTAACCGAACCATACATTCCCCCATCCATGGCATTCCATGCCAATTAAGCAACAACACTGGGGATCCGGAGGGGAGGCAAGTTCAAATGAAACGTGGAAATTCAATTTGGAAAGAACAATTGATTGAGTTTTGAGTGAGTGTTTATGGTAATTAGCATTCCTCCCTCTAAAAAATAATGTAGGCCTACATTCTAGGTTTGAATGTAGGCCTTGGCTTGTACATGGTATATACGACAATACGAAGTCTTCAAGTTCAAGTTCTGTTAAAATTTCGACTAACAATGATCGACAGGAGCATTGTTAGTTTACGATACATGCACGGGCGAGTGCGTTTAGCTCTCTGGTGCTATTTTCGGGCTTCACCAGAGGATCAGTTTTGTTTGTAAATTGTTTTTGTAGCAACACCAAAGTTATGCATTTTTTTGCATGAGGCATCGAGATCTTGGCGGTCTTCTTCCGAACACGTCCCGTCAGTTGAACATAGAGCAAGGGTCCTTGCTCTACGGTTAGAACAAGCCGATACGATCGGATTGGAAATGACAGAAAATGCTTCGATGAATCTATGGTCCTAGACTGAGGATCATGAATATAAAAATCATGATATCTTGGATACTCAATACGTACAATGTCGTCCACTCTCTTCATCGTATTATGTCACCGTATACTCTCATGTGGGGTGGGGGTTGTGGGGGGGGGGGGGTTGTGTTAAGTAGGCACAAATAATGATGAGAAAATGACGTAATAAAGCGGGTCCAACCAAGTAAACATGCCAAAAATCCGTCCGCCGAGCTCAATAAAAACATGAACATGGAGGTAGAATTAGACTTATCAGAGAGTTCTGAGAGCCATGAATCAAATTGGGGAATTTCAAGACATATGGCACAGTACATCTGGCTTAGACTTTGGGCTTCCTTTAGAATTTTGGGTGAAATTGGGTCTGAAGAAGTGGCGCTATTTAGCCATGTTATGAGGGATCTTTTTTTTCAAAATGGCAACCTTTCCCCGGTCGTGGAAGCAAAGGGTGGGAATTCCTCCAAAAAGTCAATGGTCAACCCACCAAAAATCGAAAAGTAAATGACAGATGACATGTTGTTCGTCATTTTTCTGCACAACCTAAATACCTGTGAGAGTTCTGAGTATTGTAAGAAAGAATTTTGAAGTATGGGGATTAAACACTGGTGTCTATGGAATTTTTTTTTACTGGGGTGCATCCATAACTCGTGCAACTCGGACCAAAAATAATTCTCCGTTTTTTAAAGATAAGTAGTATTTTTCCGGTACTGAAAAAGAAATAAATTATCGAAAGGTTGACTGACAGAACTTTATTAGAACGCATGACAGATGACGCTGGAGTATTCCTATAATTAGATCTACAGTATTAAACTCAGTAAGGTCATCCTGTGACCTTAGCTACACATTAAACCCCATCTGTTCCCACATTAAAATGTGCGCATCGTTTAATTAGGCCGGCTGGATTGAAACCATGCAAGATTACATACCCTTGAGAGCTCAGATAATCCAACAGACACCCCCGCCTAAATAAGATAAATATTGAGGCTCTATGCTAGGCTTTGAACAATTACGTCAGGGTCATGCCCAAACAAGAATCAGACAGTGGACGGAGGCCGATGAAAGGAACCGTGTTGATTTGATTTACGGTGAGATGCTTTGGGATGTTGATTTGCGCAGTGTTGTTCCAGCTCTCTGGCCGAGGCTCGGTCTTACCGTAGAATAAGGTTTTCTTGCTATTCTGCTTCCACAAGGTCCCGTGATTGTGGAAAATATTTACACTCCGTGAGATGAAAACTAATTGCTCTGCAAGGTGACGTTTATATCATTAAATTCTCCCTAAGAAAAATAATAACATCCGACAAGAAAGATCAGTTTATTGTCCTTGAAATAAACCATCGCATTACTGATCTATTTGCTAATCCGCCACTGCTCAAAGGCTGTACACTAGACAGTGGAGACTACGAAATACCCGTTGCTATTTTGGACTGGTCTATGAGGGGCGTTCCCACAACCAGGTCCAGGGGGAGGGGGCAAATTCTGAGCTTCCAAATCCTTGTTGGAAATCGTATAACGTAATATGAAGGGACTGGAGCGGGAGGAGACCACAAACGCGAGTGGCGAAGCCACGAGGCCTTTTCCAACTTGTCAAGAATTTCTTATGTTTTTCCTCATAATCTCAATCGGAAACAACGGAGTCAGCATTCAACAACAAAAACCCCGCAAAACCCCAAAATCAAGTTCGAAAAGGCCTCGTGGCTTCGCCACTCGTGCGTGCTGACTTAATCTTTGCTCCAGTCGCTTCGTGCTTTTCGCAGCTCCGCCGCTCTAAGCCACGATTGCCTTGGCGAAAGGCTACATGGAAAGGCAATCACTAGTGCACCCCACGTATGTATGTTGGGGCATGGTGGGGATTTTGTCACTTCAAAAGTGACAATCCCCACGTCTTGGGTCTTGGGTGACAATCCCCACGTCTCAATAAACATTATTGATAGGCGCATAAGTGTTTACTGATCAATATCGGGTGCCGCGCCTGACTCCTAAAAAACAAGAATGATATTCATTCCATATCGGGCATCACTAGCTTTTCCTGCCTGTTGATCTGACATGATATAAAGAATTGTAATAAGAAGAAGGCTTACCTCACTGGCGGATCTAAAGGGGGAGTGGGTTGCAACTCGCTCCCACCCCACCCCCGTGACCCGTGGTACCGGTACCCCGTTCAGCCGCTGACTAGTACTAAATGGGGCCACTAAATATTGGTTTTCACTGCTAGGCTTAAAACATTCAATTTCGTCCGAGAACAATTTCACACGCTTTTACCAAAACCAATTTACTCATTTTACCGTTCAATTTCAAAGTTTGGTCGCCTGCAGTATGCTGCCCTCTTGGTGGTTAGTCCTACTGAGCGCAATCGCGGGAGCTCGGAGGGTGGGGGGGGGGGGGGGGGGGGGGGGTCAAACAAACGCTGAATTTAAAATGTAGAGAAACCTTGAGTTCCTGTGCTTGGGTGTGGGTTGGGGATATTTTGGTACATGTAGTTCATGCAGAGAGTCACTTATCTTGTCCAGTGGCTAGAGGAGTATTCCTTGGGATAAGAAGGGTTGCAGTAGTATTGGAGGACGGATGAAGTTCGTCATTATATCTGAAGTGATGGGTTTGGCATATATCGCCTAGGTCTAGTACTCTAGTTCATGGTTTTTACAGACAGTCTTCAGGATGCCCAGGACAGCGGCCGCCTCTTGCAGGTAGTACCTTCTTCATTTGATATAGGAGATGGGGCTACTAAGCAGAAGTCAGTGGAGGAGGTGCTGATCCATACGCGGCTTCCGCTTCGTGCAGTTCGTGTGGGTGCCGAAATTATTGGTTGGTCATGGTAGCGCCCTCTCGCGGCGGTGGGTTATCGTGTACACAAACATAACATACATCATACGTAAACATAAACCATTTAATTTCCAAGGACCATTGATTACATGCCACATCTTATACTACAATCACGAAAATGATTCGGGGGCGCTGCCATTTTTCCGACCGGTCTCCCGTCCCCATCGCGCCTGTTGGCTGCGGGGGATGCGGAACGGGGCCCGGCTATTTCCACCCTATTTTCCCATAATTCCCTTCCCCATTGAGCCGGCCGTGCCGGCCATCTTGCGTACGGGCCGGATAATTGACGTGCCACGTATACATGTACGGGGAGGGTTGTACGGGGAGGGTTGTACGGGGGGAGGCCTCGGACATCGAGAGTTTGGCCGTGGGTTTACTTAGCTAGGCTTAATGTGGCCAATTTACTGCATGACCTCCGTAAATACAGGCCTCACTTGGAACATGTACCCGAACATGTTTGTAGAACTTTGTCAACTTTTGATTTCACAATTGGGC